GAGAGAGAGAGAGAGAGAAAGAGAGAGAGAGAGAGAGAGAGAGAGAGAGAGAGAGAGAGAGAGAGAGAGAGAGAGAGAGAGAGAGAGAGAGAGAGAGAGAGAGAGAGAGAGAGAGAGAGAGAGAGAGAGAGAGAGAGAGAGAGAGAGAGAGAGAGAGAGAGAGAGAGAGAGAGAGAGAGAGAGAGAGAGAGAGAGAGAGAGAGAGAGAGAGAGAGCTTGCTTCCTTCTGGGCTCTTTACAACGGCTCTTTACAACATGGCTCCAAATGGCTTTGTGGTTCGAGTCAAAAACTTAATGATGCGGTCAATTTAGATATGCTGTCAAACATAGCACCGTGTTTTAGTATGGCAGGAATTTCAAAACAGATGCCATGGCAGGAGGCGAGAAAGGGCTACGAAACACTAAAAAGTATTGTGCAGCCAGAAATTAGTCCCCGACACACAAAAGGGCGATAGTCTGATGCTTGATGCGACTAACATTCCGTGGAGGGAGGAGTGCCACTTAGGCGCACATTCGGGTCCAGGGCATCCTTGGTTTGTCGAATGTACACGCGCAATTGCTCCAAGACATAGTTGTCTTGGAGGCCGCCAAAGCGGAGCACACACTCGCCGCTGGCATCCTGTGCTAGCTCATAGCAGCGGCCTGCAGGGGTGTTGGGGCCCTTGCGCACGGTCACGCCTGCCAATGGGATGTAGCGCTTGAGCTCGAAGCGGCGGTCCCATTTGGAGCGGAGGAGGACGAGCAATAAATCGTTGAACAGCACCAGGCTGACTTGGCGTTTGATGTTGCTCTTGGCCTTGGAGCGGCTCAACTCGGCGACCTCTGTCTCAAGAACAAAGGCGCGCTCCTCCGTAACCAGCCTTTCGGGCAGACGGTTGGTAATGCGCGACTCGTAGCGCTCGGTGATGGCCGTGTGGTCGATGCAGCATTGAAACTCCTCCTCGGCAATGCGCTTATAAATACCCTCCAGAATGCCGCGGGGAATGTCCTCACCATCGTCAATGCCACGGTTGTTGCGGATAAACTCTTCTTTGGTCATGCGTCGCGGGTTGCTTGGGTTGTGGAGGTCGGTTTGCAGCATCAAAATTGAAAAGGAGAGAACGAGCACGGTGTCTTCATGATTGAAACTATGCTCGTTCTGGGCGTAGTAGCGTGTGGCAAAGGCCATCAGAACACGCTCAATCTTTTGTGCTTCCCCTATGAGATGACGACAATGAAGGGAGCAAGAATAGATCAGGGATCAGAGGGCAATCCCAAGCTGCAGGTAGCCGGGGAGGGGGCCAGGACTTGAACAGAGCAACTGGGCACTCACCGGGAATTCGAAAGCTAAGGAGAAAGAGGCGGAGGGCGCTGTCGACGGTCACATTCTGAAAGTCAAAGGTGGCGGCGTAAGCCTTGAGCAGCTCACGCGTTCGCTCTTCTGGCAAACCAAACAAGTCTCCGATGGCTGCCCGGCTGATCCCGGGCTCCTCGCACACAAACTTGACAATGCCTGGCGGTGGGTCAAGAGCAAGGGCGCGGGGTGAGACACAGGCAGGTGGGCTGGGCTCAGTGGATTGGCGGCGCTGTCAAAGGGAGAGTGGAGGTACTTACTGGTAGGATCATTGCTCACGAGGCCGGCAGCGACCAAGTCATCCAAGGCCTTGTGGGGTTTGCGGTTGAAGCGGTAGATGGCGATGCGCGCGGCGCGCAGCGGATCGGCAGCGGTGGGTATCGAGGTCAAGGCAAAGGAGGCTGTGCTTTGGCGCTGTAGAACAAGCGGGGAAGCCGGTGGGGAGCGGGAAGCACCGCTTGCGCTGTCTGGCTTGGTCGAGGGTGCGTTGGCCTTGACTGAGGCCTCCGTCAAGGTATCGCCACGGCTGCGGGGCGCATCATTTTCAGTGTCCACAAGGTCGTCGCTAGCTGCGACAGGTGACGCAGTCCGGGGTGACTCTGGTTGCGCGGGCAAGTGATGCTGAGCGGTGGCGTCAGCCTCAGGAGCGGTGGGTGTCAGGGCTGGGGGGGCGGCGGCTTCCTCGTCTTCTTCATCCTCGCCCGGTCGCTCGGTCACGGTGTGGGCGCGTAGCAAGGGCGAATGACGACCTTCGCGAACGGTATCGATACGCACGAGGGTAGGATTAAAGCGCTGGTTGGGTGTTTGGCTGCTGCCAGGTTTGGGAAGCGTGATCAGACTATTAACAGAGGGCATGAGGCGCTGATTTTGGCTGGTGTGGCGTAGGGTGCCGCCGGAGGGGCCGCAGTAGGCATTGCTGGCTGATCGCAAGCCCAGGGAGGTGGACGGGACGCGATTCTGGCGCGCAAGGCTGGCGCGGGTGCGCGAGACGCTGAGTCCACGCGTGTTGGCCGTAATGGTACCACGGCGTGAACTGACGCTGCGGGCACGGGCACGTTGCAGCTGTTGCTGCCGCACTTGCTCAAAGTGCTTGCGCAGCCGATGGCTGTGCCAGGCTCGTTGGATAACCATGGCAGCGCGATCGCGCACCCGAGCATCATACTCCACGGCAGGGTCCACTCGATCTGCACTGGTGCTGGAGTCTGGGTGGACGGCAGGGTGGGCGGCGGCAGCAGCGGCGTCTTCTTCTTCAAAACCAAAGACCTCCTCAGCAAAGCCAAAGCGGGGCACGGCATCTTCGTAAGGAATGTTGTGAGCTGTCAAAAGACGTTCCAGGCTGGCAATGTATTCGCGCTGCAGAAAGGCCGAGTCTTCCATGTGCTGCAGCTCGGATTCCAGACGGGCCAAAGAGTGGCTCAGTTCGCTGCTTCGCAGTTGGAGACAGCGGGAAAGGGCGAGGAGCTCATCACGAGACTTGGCTTCGAGCGCTTCTGGATCAGTTTTTTCAAAATCCTCTTCGTCACTACTCTCAAGGGGCGTCTTGGTGGCTGCCAAACCCTTGACAATGGCTTGGTGCAAGGCGTTACGCCAACGGTCTGCTGCTTCCGGCTGTTCACAGTACATGTAGTAGAGGCGCGAGTCGGTTTTGAGGCCAAAGCCGGTCTGAGGTCGAGTCTTTTCTTCGGGCCAAATGCCAACGGGGCATTGGCTCTCAAGCAAGACCTGGGAGCGAGCAGAGATGCTAAAGGTGCCCTTGGGCTTGGTGGCCTGATAGTTTTCATCGGGAAAGTAGGCGACCTGTCCATTTTGGAAGAGAACGAAGAAGCGGTGTTTCCAGCTGGCGCGATGCTTGCCCATCTTGGTCATCCAGCCAATGTGGATGGGCACGGCTCCGGGCGCAACCGCCACATGGCCGGAGGAAAACGACATGCTCGCCTAGTGGGTATCACCCGATCCACGGTCCTCAATCGTGATGCAAGCCACCAGAGGTTCCGAGCACGCACGAGAGGGGTAAGGGCGTCCGCGCCGACAAGGGAGAGGGAGGCAGATCGAGACACTGTCACTGTGCGGTCTGAACCCAATCTCCAACGCCCACCCAGCCGCGAGAAGAAGAAGACCCTTTTTCTCCTCGCAACCAGCCGCCACACCTCTGGGAAGGGGCTGTTCTCCCTTCCCCCGAAGCAGTTGCCAGCAGTCGCAGCAAGCACAACGACGTGTAGGTCGCGACCGATCACAGTCCCCGAGACGCTGAGTCGGCACCACACAACGGCACAAAGGGAAAATGGCTTACAACAAGGAAATAAACATGAATCTGATAGTTGTTGCCGTTTACAAAGGAGATGTAGTGTAACTTTGCGTAGCGACTTTTGGAGCTTTTGTTGCACTGCTTTGGGTTACTCCCTCCTTCATCCAGCTAGGCAATGACACTTGGTACCACCGCACGATGCTGACTGGTTTCGCCTTCTGCTTCTAAAAGGCCTCCACACACACACACACACACACACACACACGCACGCACGCGTGAGAGAGAGAAGAGAAGAGAGAGAGAAAAACACACACACACACTCACACAGTTTCGTTTGAACTCTTCTGTGTGTGTATGTGAGTGTGTGTGTGTGTGTGTGTGTGCGGCTGACGAGCTGTTGTTGGGTTTCGGGCTGCCGGGGCTGGCTGCATTGCATCGTGGGCTGGTTCGGTACCCTGCACGGAGCACGAGACCGTGCTAGCGAGTGGGTCTTGCTTTTGCTTGCTACCTGGCTGTTGGTGTGGGTGCGTTTGGCTTGATCTCGATCAGTAGGTTGCTCTTTGATTGGATGGATGATCAAGTCTTTGATTGATCCAACCAGAACTGTTTGGCGCGTGCGAGCGGCGCAAGAGTGTTGTGGTCGTGCCCGTCTCGACCGTTGTCAGTCAGAGCAGCTTTTGAGCCGGGTCCTTGCATTCGCAACACGAGTGAAGCGCCTCGCTTGGTTGCTTTGAAAGGCAGTTGTTATTGTGCCAGCTGCAAGCGGAGCCGCCAGCGACCCTTTGTTGGTGCTGGCCACCACCCCTTTGAACGCTTGCTTGCCCCGAGTTGCAAGCGCAGTGCTGACACTCGTTGCCCAACCGTCACAACGAGCGGGCCTCTAGCTGGGAGAGGCATCGGTTTTTGTCCGTCTAGCCCTCTGTGTCGTCCCACCAGGACCAGCACGTCAAGTCAGAGCGAGGGGCCGGAAGCCAGCTGACAGCAACATGCGGGGCTCGGACCAGCGTGCCACGCACCCAGGTCGCAACCTCGTGGCGGGGGGCCTCGCGGGCTGCTTTGCCAAGTCGTTGGTCGCGCCGCTGGATCGTATGAAAATTTTGTACCAGGGTAACCATGGCATCATCCGTGGCAAAACCATCCCCTCGGCCATTGTGCGAGTTTATCAGGAAGAGGGTCTCCTCGCATTTTGGCGCGGCAACAAGCCCCAGATGGCCCGCATCTTCCCATACGCCGGCGTCCAGTTCCTTACCTTTGAGCGTGCCAAACGCTTTTATCGCCAGCAATTTGGGGACCGCCACTTTGTCTCCTTCATGGCCGGCTCCACCGCCGGCATTACCGCAGTCACCGTGACCTACCCCATCGACTTTCTCCGCACACGCATGGCCTGGACAGTGGGTCACCCTGTCACTGTCCTTGAGCTGGTCCGGGAGATCCACCGCACCGAGGGCAAGGCCGCATTCTATCGAGGCATCGTTCCAACTTACGTGGGCATGCTGTTCTATGCTGGAGTCAGCTTTGGTATCTACGATTTCATCAAGCACTCGATGCTTGCCGTGCCGCAGTTTCAATCAACGTCCGGCCCAGAGCATCTCAACACGCTGGCCAACCTCATTTGCGGTGGTACGGCTGGCCTGATTAGCCAAACCATTGCCTACCCTTTTGACGTTGTTCGCCGTCGCATGCAAATCGAGCAGCGCCAAGCGGGCCAGAACTACCAGTTCCACGGCGTCTTCCAATCCATGCGCCTCCTGTACTCTCAGGGTGGCCTTCGCATGCTCTTTCGTGGCATCAGCCTCAACTACATCCGTGAGTTCCCCCAAGTTGGACTGGCTTTTGTTGCTTACGAAAAGCTCAAAATCTGGCTCGAGGTCTACAAAGACAGTGACGAGGAGGTCGCCGTGGCCAGCCTCAGATAGCAGCAACAAGCCACCCTGAACTGGTTGCTCCCAGCCACTTGGGGTTGTCTTGCCTAGGTCTGGTGTGGATGTCCAAGTATATCGCTTTCTGAATATTTGGCCCACAAGCATTGCCTCGCGTTCCTCTACCCCCTAAAACGCTTCCCGCGTCTTGTACCTTTTTTTTCATCGCGTGTCGTCTTCTGTATCATGTTCAGTGACCGAATCGATACCCCATCCCTTAGTTTGCCTCTTGCAACTCTTTTTCTTCTGCCAGTTGTCTAATGTGCCTTTTTTTTTTTTGAATTCAATTTTATATTTGTGTCAGTTTTGATTTTGTTTTGGGCGGCACAGCTCAAATCATGCCTCCTTCAATCATCGCCAGAAAGGAGGGCTCGGTCGGCTCGGTGACAGAGCGAGCCAACAAGTTGATCCTTCCCCACCTCTATACCACTATCACCACATTGCGCCAGGCCGAGCACACAAGAAGGGGACCTTTGACATCCGCTCTCTGCGTTCGTGGGCAAGTTCACGACAAGTCCAACCACACGAAAGATCCGCCCGCTGCGCACTCCCCGCCGTGAGCTTTAACCCCAACGGCACACCAGCACAAAAACATCAAAAAAAAAAGAAAACAACAACAACAACAACGGACTTGGCAAACCAGCAAGCTGAAAATTTCTGCTGCCAACAAACGTACAAAGAACAAAAAAACAAAAACATCAAGTACAGACATGGATCGAGGCACGTTCGGCCCAAAAGACAAAACACGTGATGAGGGGAAGAAGGAAAAGCGCAAAAAGAGCAGAAGATCCACGGCCAGCGCAAGCACTGGTATCACGCTCATCTCAAAGATGTGCCAACGCTATAAAAAGAAAAAAAAAAAATGGCAATCAAGCTCCGTACAACTGCTTCAAGCGGTTTACGACATGGTGCCAAAAACAGGGTTGTGACGGCAAATGCTGGGACCACGCTCGTCGTACTCGGCCTTTGTATGGCAAACTGAGTAAAACTCGGGCTGCGGGACACAAAGCGGCATCATGAGCATGCCGATTACACTCGTGCAAGAACAAGATTCAAGGCAGGTACGAAGCAGACACGAGCGGCGGGAGTGGGGGCGGTAAAACGGCGTCACTTTGACGTACCGTGGAGGCAAGCATGGAGCCACCGAACCAAACAGCATAGCGCTGCATGTTGTGGGTGATGACCTTGACGTCGATGGGTTGGGGCTTGAGGCGACCCTGGCTGAGCTCTTCGCTCTTGTGCAAGCGGAGATCGACCACCTTCTTAACATCGCGCTGCAGACGGCGGCCAAAGTCCTTAAACATGGTCGAGCCACCCGAAAGGACAATGTTCTTGTAGAGACCACGGCGAACATCAATGGGGCAGCCCTGCACCACCTCGTCCACCAAAGTGGAGATGGAAGTCTGGAATTCAGGGTTGGAGAACTCTGGGTGGAAGAAAATCTCGGGACCCAGGAAGCGCTCGTAGCCAACATCAACGGAAAAGTCCTGCTTGGTCACCTTGTTCGTGCCAGTGTATGTCTTGAACCACTTGGCAGGATCCTCATCGTACTTGTTGAACTCCTTGACAATATCGGGGCACGTGTACGAGTAACGCTCCTTGATGGCTTGGGCAGTCGCCAGCGACTGCTCCGGAGGAATGCCTGCATATCCATACAACAAAGGAGAGAGGCGATTGCGTCATGATGAGATGAGACCTGGAAGAGCGCCAGTTAAGAGAGAATTTCAAACTTCAAAGCTTCGGGCCGACTGGAGCGGGCGCGTGTGCTTACCCAGCTCGCGCTCACGCAGCAGCTGCTGAACAAAATAGGTGATGTCGCGGCCGGCAATGGGGATGTGCTTGATGCAGCTACCAATGACATAGCCTTCGGCCTGCACGACACAACCAGAACAAGGTGTGTAAGTAAGAACGACCAGAATTTGTGCTGCTTTCAAAACCAAACGAGAGACCTGGGAAGATTGTGATCAGGAACATAAAAGGATTTGCTGCATTGGCGGGGATTGACGTACCACGGGGATAACGTGGGTCACACCATCGCCCGAGTCAATGACGGTTCCGGTGAGCGTGCGCTCGCCGACTTGGCGCGAGGTCCATGAGGCTGCCAGGGCCAGTACGGCCTGCACGGCGATGTAAAGGCCGGGGACGTTGAACGACTCGAACATGATCTCAGCCGTGTACTCGCGGTTCTCTGGAGTATTGAGCGGGGGCTCGGTCAGCAAAAAGTAGTGGTCTTCGGGCTCTGCTCGCAGGTACTTGAAGATGACTTGCTCCATAAACTTTTCCTGCAATGCACCACGTATTGTCAGTCCATTTGATTGCAGAGTGCAGCAGCCCACGCCTCAGTGTGCAGCGTTGAACCAAGGGTCACCATCGGCGCATGATGGCACAAATCCATGGCCTCGGGAACATACCATCAGATCCCAATCCTCGACAATGCCGTGGCGAACGGGATACTTGACCGAGTAGCCAGAGGCCGAACTAGCCTCATCGCCAATGTGGAAGTCTGTTTGGCAACGAACGGTGAGCGGTTTGTGGACAAGGATGGGACTGCCGGCACGACTTGAGATGAGCGTGTCAACTGACCCAGATCCTCGATGCCCGTGGGCGGTGCCTTTTCGCGCACCGCAATGGCTATACATTAAAAGGGTTGATGACAGGATCGAGTGTGCAGGACGATTGAGTGGTGGCAAGAGGTGGCTGGACAGCAAAAACGCAAAGTAGACTTTGGGACACGACATGACGGAACGCACTGGAGGGCATAATGTAGGAGGGCTGGTCGTTGCCGGCAAAGCCGAGCTTGGTGTAGCCCGTGCCGACATCGACAACGCAAGCAGGCATGCGGTTGGCCATGGCGTCGGTGCAGAGGGAGGTAGGGATTCAGGAAAAAAAGGGGTCAGGTGCTGAATCACAACAATAGCTCGAGACACGAAAGGCTGGCTGCCTGTGCTCCAGTCAACAAAAAAAGGTGGGCTCGGCACGGAAGGATCCGCAGGCAACCCAGGGTCAGTTGTCTACAGGGTGAAGCGAGTGAGACACAAGGGTAAGCACGCGGCAGAAGCATAGGGATGATTGCGCCAGATCGCAAAGCCCCGACAGGCACGACCATTGGTCAGTGCTGGATGCCAGCTGGAAGACAACTGGCTCAGTGTGCGCGCCACCCCTTTGCTCCTGTGGTCAAGACGCACGGCAGCCAAGGTCCCTCCCTGTTCAGCACTGTTCTCTGCCTCACCCTCCCGATGGCACCAATGCATTGAACTCGAAACCCGCTCCCGCGGGTGGCGCGCGCGCGCACACTCGCTCGCTCGCTCGCTCGGGGCGAAGGTTCGTTCGTCGTTCCACTGACCGGTCGGTGCTGAGAAAGAGGGAAGGGAAGTGTGTGTGATGAGTTGACGTTGTTGGCGGCTTGGCGAATGTCATCTAGGTGTGGGGCCGCCAAGCTGGCTTCGGCTTTGTGATTTATGACAATAAGTGGAGCAGCATTTATGTCGCATCAAACGATACAAATTCTCATCTAGCTTGCAAGCGATGCTAAAATAACAAGGTATTCCTTATCTTTGATTGGATGGGTGGGAGGATGTTTGGCGATAGGCCGCACCAGATCACAGAGAGAGCGAGAGAGAGAGAGAAGAGAGAGAGAGAGAGAGAGAGAGAGAGAGAGAGAGAGAGAGAGAGAGAGAGAGATTGGTTCGAAGAAAAGAGAGAGAGAGAGAGAGAGAGGGAGAGAGAAGGACGAGCAGTTACAATCTCGTCTGCTCGTGTGTTGGTCTGTGAGAGAGCGAGCGAGCGAGCGAGTGAGAGAGAGAGGTCCTTCTGCCTCTGGGGAGGGCAGCGGGGTGATTGCCATGGTGTTGCGGCCAGCAAACCAGCCGCGGCTGGTGCGGCTGGTGGTTGCATGCTGGGCAGCGGCATGCTGGTGGTCGTTCTTTGCGAGCGGTCTTGACTATAACACCCCCATCTCTCCCAGTATCCAGCAACTCTATCCCGATGCGCTGGCATCCAACACGGCGGTGCGCCTTCGCCATGCCGACGTCAACTCGGAATCCTACATTGTCATTTTCAGTGGCGAGACTCGGCGACCTCGCCTGACGGCGGCCACCGTCAATCGAACCTATTATGTCAGCCAGTCGACCTGGATTTTCTCCGAGTCGGCCGCGGTTTGGCACGAATGCGTGGCTGTGGGTGACAGCATCCCTCACGGTCGCGAGTACTATGGCGCCTCATTTATGCAGCTGGGCGGCAGCGACGGCCTGATTGTGCATGGTGGGAGCCTCCAGTCCGGCATTGTCAATGATGCATGGCGCCTCGAGCTGGTGGGCCGCGATACCTTCGGCTGGCCCCAGTGCGCCTGGCAATCTCTCAGATCCACCGGCATAGGCGCCCCCATGCTGGCCGCCCACCGCATGGTCACCAGCGGTAGCAATCTCATTGTCTTTGGGGGTTGCAACTCTATCCAAAACCTCTCCACGGACACCACTTGCAGGGAAAAGTCCAACGTCACCTACCTTGGTCGTTACGACCACAGTGCTGCCTCCATCGAGTGGTCCATCTTTCCCGTCACCTCCACCGTTGGTCCCTCCCCACGCTCCCTCATTACAATGGTCGCCCTCAACGCCTCGTGCTTCTCCGTCATTGGAGGCTATCGCCCTGGCAGTCACTTTGAAGATCGCAAGAACACCAATGGCTACATCTCCGAGACCTGGACAGGCTGTGTCGCCGATTTGGAGGGCCCCAGTCCCAGTCTGAGCTGGCGGCAAGCGGCCGCTCGCCCACCGCGTGTTTATGGCATCGGAAGCGGTCTTCTGCGTGGCACCGAAATTGTCCTCGTTGCCTTGCCCTTTGCTTCCACCAACCGTATGCGCGTCTGGCTCTATGACTACGTCGAGGATGAAGAATTTCACCTCGTCGCCGAAAACCCTCTCGATTTGGGTGGCCCCACCGTCAACACGTACGTGGCAGCTCCGCAAATCTTTGTGCCGTTTACGGCGCCTGCACCCGCTCACCTGTCGTTCTCAATCTGCCTTTGGTTGGATGCAGGCTGGGTAGCCCGGCCATATCGCTATCCCTCGTCCCCGCCGACGGCGGCTATCCCGTGGTTGTGGGTCTCATCTACGACGATGGCAGTGGTGATTTTGCTCCAATGTGGACGTTTGACATTGTTCGCAACGACACGCGGCCTGGCGTAATTGACTGGAATCACAACGTGGGTACTCCGCCTCCTCACATCTCGTGGGTGCAAATTCAGCCAAGCCCCAATCGATGTCGCACGAAACACCATCATCTTGTCGGCTGCTGTTCTTCATTTTGTATCATGCCCACCCCGCTCTTCCATAGATGGTCCGCTTGACGCCCGGTGCACGCATGTTTGCCTCGGTGACCCCCATGGCTCAGGAAGGAACGCACGCCAATACAGCCTTGTTTGTGGGCGGCACATCCAGTGGCCGCGACGAACTCGTGTGGCAGCTCAATCTTTCCGTCATCGCTAATGCTGCCGTCATCGAAGATAATGCCACTTACACCTTCAACGAGACAGACTTTAACATTGATTCCCCGTGGCGAGCCTACCTCTCGCCAGGCATCCCGTCCTTGTCTCAGCATGCCGCCGTGCAAGTTAGCTACAGAGATAGCCCCTCCGTCGTCATTACGGGCGGCTACTTTAACGATATTTTCACGGGCTCTGGTCGTATCAACAACAAAACCTACTGGTTTGAACGGTAAGCTATGTTTGATGGTTGGATGTACCCTGGTCACCCCATGTCCATATGCTCATATGCTCGACATGTCTGCTACCCGGCCTTCACATCAACAGCGCCGAAACACCACAAGTATTTAAAGTTGTTGCCGACTGTCCTGCGGTCGTGGGCCACAGCATGTCGGCCTCAGCCGGTACGCAGCCAGTCGCGACCCACGCTCATGCTGGTCCAAGCTCATCTCATGCTCTCCGGGTGGTTCCCATCGTACTAACAGACATGCGGGATGCCTACATCTTTGGCGGGTTTGACTCGGAGGACAATCCGACCAACGACGTTTATCAGATGGAAACTGACCCGTGGCGGTGGCGGCAAATGTCAACCCAAGGCACGCCGCCCCCTCGACGAGGCTATCACTCAGCCACCATCTTGTTCAATAGTAAGGCCCAGGTGTGGGAACTGATCATTTTTGGGGGTACACCTTCCTTCATCCGCCTCAACGAGACCATGTCCGACCTCTTTGCGCTCAACCTCGAAACCTTTACTTGGCGCAAAATCGAGGCCTCAACCCCGCCAGGTAGGTCTGGCGTGCATATCTGATGCGGGAAAAAAAAAAAAAAAAAAAAAAAAAAAAAAAAAACGTTACGCTCTGCTGAGCCAAAGGCGCTTAAAAACTGCTCGAGTGGGTCAAAGGTTGGTGGTTCGGGGTGGTTGCACTTACCATCTCTTTTCCATTTCTCGCGGCTGATCATGTGCCATATAGGCTGGCGTGCCACACCGTGGAGCCGGGCGTTTTCGTGCACCGTGCGCCCGCAAAGATCGCTAAACGAGCACTCAATCAAAATGTTGATTGCCGGTGGGCGCAACGAGAATCAAGTGTTGAGCGACTTGCTAGAGTATGATCACAGTGAAGAGCACTGGGAACGTCTGTTCCGCACCAGCCCGTATCACCCTACCTCGGATTATGGACTCTCTGCACAGGCTTGCAGCATGGTTAATGGGTCCTTGGTTATCATCGGTGGTGCCACCATGTGGACCCTGTCCAAACTGGTGATCCAGCTCGATCCGTACTGCAATGCCGGTTTCCAAGCCGCCGAGGGTGACTTTGGGTCTAGCTCTTGTTTAGCCTGCCCGCAAGGCAAATACCGCAGTGGCACAGATGATGCCCTCTGCACCACCTGTCCAGTGGGTATCACGACAGAATCCACGGGCTCCACCTCCTCGTACCAGTGCAATGTCTGCGAAGAAGGGTGCGTGTGCCCAATCAAGGCAGATCCGTGGACTGCGGTGCCCTTCTTCATCTCTCCTTGTTTGCGTCTATGCCAGGCCGGCATTCCTTTTCTTGAAGCTCATGCTGTATATTGGTTGTGCTGTGGTGTATCAATAGGCGGTGCGCTGGAGCACACAGCTTGTGTACTGTCATCAACTTTTCCGTTGCCGTGTGTGACTGCGGCTTTGGTCGAAGCGGCGACCAATGCAGCGAGGCATGGGGCTATTACCTCTTGGGGTCGATGCTGGCCTTTCTTCTCATCGTGGGCACTGGCCTGCTTGTGCGCAACCGCATGCGCCGCGTGCGCAAAAATCTTCTCATCAATCAAGGCCTCTTGGCCGAGGCCCGGGCCGAGAAGGAGGAGCTTGAGGCTGTCTGGGAGATTGAGCGCAACGATCTCAAGTGGGAACGAAACCTGGACGAAGGTGGATTTGGCAACGTATATCTTGCCACTTGGCTCAGTCAGGACAAGTCAGTCGTAACCCGCGCCTATCTGAGCTTTGCTCCGGGCCGAGAGCGCGCAGCTGAGCGCACCCCGCCTGTGATGGCATCTCTGACTGTTGTTCTCTGATCCGAACAAGTCGTGCACTGTGTGTCTATTGACGACCTGGGCATATCGGTCGTGGTTGATGCTGATGCACCATCTTTGTGCTTGATCTGCAGACGTGTGGCCGTCAAGTGCTTGAAAAACACGACGCAAGTCTTGGATGCTGTTGCCGTGCAAGAGTTTGCTCGGGAGATCCGTACACTACGACTCATGCGTCATCGGTCAGTTGATCGTCCTCGTTCCCCTGATGAGCCGCTAATTTGATTTCTGTCTAATCTGGGCGTGGGGCTGTGCTGGTACAGCAACATTGTCTTCTTCTATGGTGCTTGCAACGAGTCACCTTGCTTACTGGTCATGGAGTTTGTGGAGCGCGGGTCACTGGCGGATATCATCAAGCTTCAAGGTGCAAATATGCCCTGGGAACGTCGCCTCAACTTTATGTCTGATGCAGCGAGTGGAATGCAATATCTTCACCTCAACCACAAGCTGCACATGGACCTGAAGTCAGGCAACTGCCTGGTATCTTCATCCTGGACGCTCAAGTTGACCGACTTTGCCACGACGACGGCCGTTGCACAATCAGCCGAAGAGGCCTCGACTGATCGCACCATCACGAGCTTGTGCTGGTGTGCTCCTGAGCTCTTTGCCTATTCTGATGCTGCCAGTCCTGCATGCGATGTGTACAGCTACGGTATCCTGTGCTGGGAGATCTTGCAAGCCAGCACTCCACCATACATGGATTTGGACAAGCCGTGGAAGATTCGTGACTTTGTGCAAGGCGGTGGACGGCCCTCGCTGGACGAGGTGCCGGCCGAGTGGCACGACTTTGTTCAAATGTGCTGGAGTGGCATCTCAAAGCAGCGTCCCAACTTTGACGCTGTCTTGGCCCACCTGTACCAACTTGAGAAAACCGCGCCGGGGGAGCATCAAACTCGAGTTTAGAAGTCGTGCTCAATACCATGCGTGCTACCTCGGTTGGTGTGCGAATCGAGACTATGAGTGAGTGAGTGAGTGAGTGGATGGGTGGGTGAGTGAGCAAATGAATGTATACTCTTCTTATTTCATGAATACATTGTGTGAGCGTGTCGCTGTTGCTCGAGGGCGGAGGATATGAAGTCCATACCATTTTAGTTTTTTTTTTTTTTTTTCCTTTTGTATCCTTTTTTGAAATCAAAATTTACATCGGATGTTCAACGAGTGACCGTTGTCAGACAAATTTGAATACCGTTTTTGACCGTTTGCGCACCACTCACGGTCAAACCTCTCGCCGCAAACAGAGAGCCCTCGGTTCCCAAAGGGCAGCGGCAGAAGCGACCGGAATTCAGAGGCAGAGAACCTCAGGGAGGGAGTGGAACTGGTGTGGTTGCATGGTGAGCTCAGCGTACTGCTGTTGCACGGCACTTGCATTCAGGATTGACGGTCGCCCCAAGCATGAGTGTCCAACCGTCATTGGCAGGCGGCTGAGTTACCTGCTGCGCCGGTTCAGCGACCTGCTCTCTTGGCACGTCCTGCCGCTTGTTGGTTCCCTTGGGGGCCCCGTTTGCTCTTGATTGAGCTGAAATACGGAATGGCGCACCTCCAGGGGTTGTTGGCGGCGTTGCGCGACAAAACCACGGGCACGACCAGCAGCAATGGGCCCGTGCCCCGACCGCATAGCGCTCACGACGGCAAACGGGACCATCAAACGGACGAGGATGAAGATGAGGTGCCCCGACGTTCTGAGTGCTGCCTTGCCAGCTCGACTTTTGTGCTTTGCCTTTGTTGGACTGCTTTGACGAATGCAGAGCTCACTTATTTGTCTTTGCATTCGTGACAGGACTTGTCTTTGTTGTTAGATGCACTGGATGAGGACGACGAGTGCGAAGAATTAGGTCGTGGGTCGCTTCCTGCCAGGCCAGCACCAGCTGAGCCACAAGCAAAGCGGGCTGCACCCGAAGCACCCATCACCCCACGTCCTGTCTTGCCGCGACAAGGCCCCTTTACCACGCCCCAAGCGCTTCAGCCGCCGGTACCACACCGTAACACGCCCGTGCATACCCCGCGCGCAAGCTCCACTGCCAGCCCCATGCCGGCGGCTGCAACCGTTTCAGGCTCTCGCTCTATTCATCGCGTAGTAGCAGTGCCTGACACGATTGCTCAAGTACCCGTCTCCGCCTCGACCCCGCGTCGCATTCCCGGCCCCCTCGGACTATTACCGCCTCTGGTATAGCTTGCCTTGAAGTCCGGGACAGCCTCCGCCCTGTTCATGATTTCCTGGCCACCCATCTGATCCATAATCTTGGCTTGGTTTGATTTCGTCGCAGAATCCGGACACTTTGCGCAACCGTAAATTTTCCGACTTGCTGAGCCAGTATGGCATTGTACGTCATTGTGCCATCCCTCTCCGTAGCTGCCTCAGTTTGCCACTCAATCAGCACGTACTTTGCTCGTGGCTGCTGTGACTGGGCAGGATGTATCTGAAACGACCCCCCGAAACGGACACAGGCCCGAGGTCGAAGTTCGGCCGTCATCCTTGCCTGCCTGGCAATACATGGAACAACAGGCACTCGGCAAAGGTCCGCACTTTTCCATTTTTGTTTGATTCTGTCCAGCCGCCAAATTCCCCCAAAGAGGCAACACTGAGAGATGAATTGTGATATTTGCGCCTTGACCGAGTCGTGGTGTGATCATGTCGCGGTTTTGCCCACTGCAGCCTGGGCCCGAGCCCTCAACACCAACCTTGTCAGGCTCAACGAAAGCCTGGATCGAGGCAAAATTGGATTTGTGGTGGCACGCATTCTTTCAGTGGATCGATCCGACCACGGCTGCAGCCTTCGCCTCCACGATGACCACGGTACACTTTTGTGTTCCACCTGCCCTAGTTTTTGTTTCCCTCTGGCTCGTTTTTCCCTTTTTCTTGTCTTGCAATGTGTTTAGCATTGTCTTCAGATCTCGATGTTCATCTGGATGCTCACATTCATAGGGCAAATGCTCGCGTCACTGCATCCCAAGCTGCTCAACGCAGAGTATGGCGATGCCATAGCAGATGGCGCCGTACTGGTGCTTCGTGATGTGACTCTGTATCGACCGCGCAAGACGGTGGCTTGCCTCAACATTACGCAGCGTAATCTGGTCACCATTTTCTGGCAGGGCGACGATGACAAACTGCACGTGGTATGGCTGGTCTGGCAGTTCATATTTGATTTCGTTTGCTCTGATCCCCCCTAAGCGAATGAGCTGATGAGCAATCTTTTGTTTGTTTGTTGTGGCATGGGCGCAGGTGGAAGTGAACCTGACTGGACCGGGGCCCTTGCGACGCCAGTCAGAGCCAATACAGCGGCGGCAGCCACCAGTTGTATCGTCACAGGCGCCGCTTCTGCCCAGGGAGCCACCAACATCTACGGGGGCGCCAGTGCATCGTTCGCCGACGTCGACGGCAACGCCGCCCAATGCGGTACCGCCCACCGCAACGCCTGTCGCTGCCTCGGCCGAATTTTTGCAGATGAGCCAGAGTCTGGACATGGATGAGAGTGAACTTCAGGACTTTTTAGACGCGATGGATGATTGAGTCAGGAACGTCGTTTCCCCTTCCTGCTTGGAAGTCTTCGTCTTTGGGACGATGGGAGCTCGTATGATCGGCTCAAGACACGTTTGAGGGGGGGCGAGGTTGCCCTGCAGACGAACCCTGTGGTTTGGTTCTTGTAGGTGATGGCCACTATGCTTCAATTATTAATCATATCTCCGGTACTGCATTGGCAGAGGTGTATCATGCTTCTTATAATGGTCCTCTGGTACGGCCTGCCACAAGTAAAATAAAGCCACGCCCACGACCACCTATGCGCCAGCCAATATTGTGGAATGAAAGAAAAACAAGATTGAGTGCCGCCATTCTCGTCACAAATGTGCATGCCGTCACGGCCAATGGTGCCTTCGAGGGGGAGGATTAACGAGCCCGCGTACCTGCGAGAGTCCATGGAAGAGTCGAAAGGCATCGTTTTCATCATCAAGGCCCAGGTAGAAACAGACGCCGGCCACCATCAAAGCCAAGAAGCCACGAATAACCTTTGGACGGTTGTACACAGGCAGCCCGCTGCCCAAGAGCATGTTCAGCATGGGTAGAGCCAGAAAGAAGACGACAACATAAGCCGTGTACTGGGTCTGGAACATCCAGTAGGCGTCCTTGATCTGGGCGATCCAGACAAGAGCGAAAGCCAGGTAACGAAGAAAGTTATCGCGGGCCTCGCTGCGGTTCCCCATGAGAAAAATGCACAGGTGAAGTCCGTAGGTGATGGTCAGGACGTTGGTCAGGCGGTGCCAGTCGCGGGGTGTCAAGAACATGGGCACCTCCAGGGCATCTGTCATGTTGTACATGGTCGAGGCCAGAAACTGAAAGGCACCGATAAAAAACTCAAAGTGCCGACCACGTCGGCTCACCACATCCAGGCTCGGCAGCAAAGCCAGGTCAGTGATGGTCTCAACAATAAACCGTATCACGTGCGCAGCCGTGAAGATCTCGGCCAGCGACTCCATGATGATCCTGGTCCTGACCACAGAAACGAACGAGGTGATCCGTTTTAAAAAAAAAAAAAAAAGGAGAGAGAGAAAAAAGCAAAAAGATGAATTTTTTGAGGAAAAAATTAAAATCTGATGATTTTTTACTTTACAGTTGATGAGGTTTTATTTTGAGGAGCGAGAAGTTTCACTGCTTTCGACGTTGTGGACGTTATCATCATTCTTCTGACCGTTTTGAGCCGTTTTTTTTTTCTTTCTCTATTGCTCTCTCCTCTCTCACTCACTCACACACACACACACTCTCTCTCTCTGTCTCGCGTGAACAGTGAGGCGGGGTCGCTTGGGCTTGGGCTCGGGCAGCTCTCTCGTGTTGTCGAGGAGGAGGAGCACGGCTCACGATTTAGACTGGGGGGGTGAACGATAATTGCTTCTCGGTGGCCTTTGTGCGTGAGCGACCGTACCATGGCGGGGTCCAGCCTGGTGACGGCTGAGCTCAAGCAGCATCTGCAGGAGTTTGAAAAGGCTTTGCAATGTGCCATCTGGTTCGTCAAAATGATGGCCCGTGGACCACTCTTTCTGCCTGCCTGCTAGCCAGGCGGTTCGCCCGTGACTGGCATGTTGCTCATTGGCATCAAAATTCATTGTTTAGTCTCGGGCTATTAGAGGATCCCTTGCGTACGGGCTGTCACCATGAATTCTGCCGGTTCGTTGATCCTGGCACCCGCTTGCTACCTTGGCCAATCTCAACATGCTTGCTCTCTGTGTAAAAGACTGCTCATGGATTGTTCTTTGCCATGGATATAGCGGCTGTTTACACAGCATGCTAGCCAGCAGTCGATCCACACCGTGCCCGCTGTGTAAAACCCCTGTCACGAAGCGGTATGCCCTGATCATCAGTTGCCTGCTTCTTAGCTTTTGTGTGCTCAAGTCAGCGTTGGCACGCGGCAACCGTTGCATCACTTAGGTCCCTGAACGAATGCCCATCGCTGTCGCAAGTGATTCAGCAGAGCAAACATGTGATTGTTGCTCTGAATCACGATCTCAAGCAACAAGGCCTTGACGGTCCGTCTTTTGCCGCCCCAGCTGCCCTCCTTTTGTGCTTGTGTCTCATCTGATTGGTGGCCGAGCTTAATTTTTTAATTTGTTCCTCGGGGTGATGGCAGATGAGATGGCCGACGTTTTTCCCGCCTCACAACTTCCGGGCATGCAAAGCCAGGATTCACCCTTGGCCGCGAATCAAAACACGCCCATCGCTCTGCATGTAAGCTTGGCTAAATCGTATACACCAACAGCAGTTTTATCAGTCGCCTCATTTGCATGCCGTCACGCCTTTGCTGCCTAGACGACATCCTCGGCTCAGGTGACACGGCCTAGTATCCCGGTCGCAGATCGCAATAACACCAAAACCGCCAAGCGTCTACACGTTTTTGCAGACACCGTCGAGCCTGTGCCCGAACAAGCGCCGCCCGCCAAAAATCAGAAGACAGGTGCTGCGTTACCGTCAGCGTCGCGTGGACACGGCCCCGCGGCTGCAAATCCGCATCTGCATCCGTATTGTTCACATCCTTGCCTTCTTGTGCATCGTGTGATGTTGCCATTGACAGCTTCACGTGCGTCGCGACAAGCCTCGACCGCCCGCACCGGAAAGTCACGATCGAGGGGTAATGCAGCCGCTGATCCAGCTGGAACAATGGCGACAAAGGCGCTTGCTACAACCAGTGCTCGTCAAACTAAAGCCCGTCAGCAGCGACGCAAGAAGTGCGTGTTCCTTTTCCATCGCCGGCGTCACACATCGCCAGGCTCATCCATGAGGTTTGATTCTGTTTTAGACGTGACACGGCACAGCTGTCGGAGGAAGAACAGATTGCGCTTGCCATTGAGCTCTCTCGCAAAAGCGCTCGGTACGTTGCACCGCAAGGGCGTGATCAACTTGGGTGGGCCTCGAAGGACCTCTTGCTGCGCACACATCCACACACCCTGCTTATCTTTGCACTCAACATGCTCGATCGGTGCAGCGCGGAGCGCATTCATCGTCGTGACTCAAGTCCCGAGGCGAGCGATGTAGAGATGGAGGAGGATGTAACTTGCGGTCGTGCAGTGCCGCAGAGTGCGCAACACAACGCACAGTCGTGGTCGCCCAAGACTGTTCGACCCAGTCCAGAGACCGCAGCAGCACAGACATCCCAAGACCCTCTTATCAAGACGTCCCCAAAAGTCACACCATCAAAGAACAAGGACGCTGAAACCGAAGACGAAGATGATGACGAGTGGGCGGGGGTGCGCCCATCTCGTCATCAAACCGGCGCCCAAGCCGGGCGACTGGGGCAGGAGATTGCCAATCTTGAAGTGCGCCTGGCCGACTCGGATTCGGATTCAGACTTTGATTTACCCTCAATAAATCTCGAAATCAACACTAGTCAGGCTCCGCCCGCCAACGCAAACCTTCCTTTGCCTTTGGTGACGGCGAATACCGTCGCCAAGCCACCGTCGCAACCAACTTTGACATCCCCAGCACGTGGCCCCGTGTCTGATAAGGGACCAATAGCAGACGTACTGGTCTCGAAAGACTCATCCAGGTCAAGCACGGCTTCCCCCTTACCCAAGGCGTCCGCTTCGGGCTCAGACGACGAGAGCGTGCGCAGCCGCCCTCGAGGGTATGTCCATCCTACTGAGTTTTGCATCGTTCAACGTCTTGTGATGTGAAAGCTTACTCATTGTGCTTGTTCGGGAAATCACGCGTTTCTACCGCAGGCGAGCATCACTTCTGGCCCGCAACGGAAGTGAGGCTCTGTTGTCACCGCGTGGGACACCACCCACCATCAGTGATTCGAGGCCGAGGACGCATTCATCCAGCATTGAGCTGGCCCGCGCCTCACCCACGCCCTCTTTGGCACCCACGCCGCACGAGACAACTCTTGCCTCCGAGCCCATGTCGTTCGGATCATTCACCGCGGCCCAGCGGATCCCATCCACCATCGACATGTCAGCGTCACAAAGCGGTACTTTGATGCTGTTTCCCGATCCGCCTGCACCTCGAAAGCAAGCAACCCTGGCCACGCCTGCCGCTGCTTCTCCATCGGCGTCGTCTCGAGTTGCGCCTCCCGCTGCTCCCCCGCAACCAGAACCAGCTGCGGTGCAAAAGCCCACACAACCCGAAACGATGGAAAGCTGGCACGAGTCATCCACCCCACCCGAACCCATCCTTCCACGTCCTGCGCAGCGTCGCGAAGCACCGATGCTGGATCAAATCTCTGCAACCATGGACGAGAGTCAGGCTTTAGAGCCACCCAGCACTGCAGGTCAATCTTGTTTTCTCCCACCTTGCTCATCCTAGACACCCGTCTGTTTTCGTAAATGCCCGACCGCGCAGACTTATACACGACTCACCAAATCTCGTGACACCTGCACGCGTGGCTGGCAGGCGCCGTCATGCCAGCTGCTGAGGAAGAAGCCGCCGAGCCACTGTTTCTGAGCGGCATCGTGCTTTTAGCATCTGGTAGTGGCACCGGGCAAAGCAACGGGCTGGACATTGAGAGTCTTCTGACTCGTGCACGAGCATGCGGCGCGCAAGTGGTTGGTTTGCGGCCGCTCGACCGCTCGACCGCTGACGTGCTTGCCGTGCACACCCGATTGTATTCTTGCAACTAAGCGCCTCATGTGTGACCGCCTTCCGTCTTTTGCTTTGGGGAATACCGGGGCAGTGCCATGAATTTGCGCCGAGTGTCACGCACGTGATTGGGCCGGCGAAGGAGGATGGCGTCGCGGCGCAGTACACCATGAAACTCATGCTAGGCCTGTTGCATCAAAAGGTGGGCTTTTACACTTGGCTGATGGCGTATTTTTGTGTGTATGACTCTGCCTCACGTCCGTCTGAAATCAGTGGTTGGTGAGCTGGGGCTGGCTGGACCGTTCTCTCGCTTCGGGCACTCGAGCAGACGAGGCGACATATGAGCTGCGACGAATGATGGCCGAGGTGGAGCGGGACGGTATTCCGGCAGCGGCACGACTGGACCCCACCCACCAAGCTGGGCGCCTCTTTCGAGGCATTTGCTTTGCATTGAGTGACAAGGCGGTCGGGGAGGTGGGCGAAACCTGGCGGGACGAGGTCTTGGCCGTCATCCGTGCTACCGGAGCGACCCTCAAGTCGGAACGCGAGGTCCTCGACATTGCTCGCCGTCAAGCTCCCGCAGACCGCGACTGCTTTGTGATTGGCAGCGAGAGTCAGTTGCTTCGCGATGTATCCATGCACTTGTGCTACATGTGTGGTTCTTGACCGGTTCACATTCTCACCCTGGCCCCACTCACATTGCGCTGGACAATGCATGTGCATCTTGACAGGCACCTACAAGATGCACCGGACAGATCCTCTTTGGGCGGAGGCAGCCCAACTGGACTGCTTGGTGGAGCTTTATTGGATCACCGACTCAATAGCTCATTTGGAGCTGCAGGCTGTTGAAGAATACTTGTTGAATGATGAAATTTTTGAGGCAGACACGCAGGGAACCGAAGCGCCCATCTGAGAGGCACTTGAGTCTCATGCTGGTCTTGGCTTTGCAACAGCTTCCGAGAAGCATGCCACCCACTGTCCGGGTGCTTGTTCCAATAATATCTTCAAGTGGTCGTCACCTTTGTCAATCAAATTTGATACCCTCGGCATCTGACGCTTCCATTCTTTGCGCACGTACACACTGGAACAACACTCATCAATTTCCACAAGTCCCTATCATCATGCCTTGTGGTTCAGAATATGCATGCTTTCAGCCAAGACATCTAGCAGGGTGAGCTGTTCATCAGCGCCGTCAATCAAGCGCTTATCGGCCTATTGCACCACGAGACACCATGAGCCCAAACGATCGTGGAGATAAGAGTGAAACATGGTGGGACCGAGGCGAGAAGCGCGCCGCGCAGCATTGATCAACCAAAACACACCACTGCCATTTTGTGAAGGATTTTGGCCTTTTTGCTTTCGTCCATCTCCATCTCCATGAGGGTTTCATGTAGCTGCGTTTTGTTGTCCAGAGGAATGAGCCAGCACCAGCGGGTGCCAAAGAATAGAATTATGGCAGGCTTGTCAGCAGTTTTTTTGAATAAAACGGCATGCCGACCTGATGCAGCAACTGCGACCCTGAGAAGCCCGATAATATGGCATCGTCCACGGATGCTTGGAGGGCTTCAAAGGAGTTTTCGTTGCAGCGCGAGAGGAGTTCATTGATGGTGCTCTGAGGGACGAGGCCAGAGACGTCTTCGACGTGCGACGTCTCGATACCCAAGTCACCGCGCAGACTATTTAGAGGTTGATTGGAAGATCAAGTAAGCGCGTGGCGAGAGCATGAGCAGTCACCGCAAGAGGCAAAAAGGGGGAAGCAACAAGCGTACCGATGACAACTCTGCAAAAAGGTGATGGCTTGACGCATGTCTCCACCGCTGACTTTGACGATGGTTTGGAGCACCTTTTGAGGAGTGATAAAGCGGTCAGAGAAAAATTCACGGGGGCTCAAATGTCTGGCAAGCGAGTGATGATGCCAAGCACGGCTTTGAATGTGGCAAGGAGAAGAGAGACAAAGCGAAGGGCATCACCTCGTCTGCACATTTAACGTTCTCAGCGTCACGGATGTGTTGCAAGCGTGCCAGGACGGTAGCGTCTGACAACGGTTTGAAGCGAAACTTGGCGCAACGCGAGGCAAGCGGCTCGATAATGCTGGAATCGATGAGCGCAATCAAAGGGCGAGATGAGTCAACGCGTACCGCGTGGGCTCCAAAATAGCTCGGGTGATGTGCCACGCTTTGCACGGCGCAGCAAGCAGGAATGGCGGTTGATAGGCACACACCGAGACACGTAGTTGCAGACCATACAAAACCGGGTCACGTTGCTGTGTTGTTCAATGGTTCGGCTAATTGCACGGATTTAGGCCAAACATGACTCTGTGAACAAGTTGCTCAGCACGAACGGCATTGTGTGACTTGGCCAGCGGTGGAGTGCCAGACACACCGGAGCGCCGACTGAGCTGCCTCTGTCATGGCGTCTGCCTCGTCCAGGAGGATGATTTTGAACGCTGCATGAGCACGTGCACAAGGGAAACAAACAAAGACACAATGTGAGAGACCGGCAAATGCAAGTTGAATCATTCTCAGCAGCCATGCGGGCGAGGCGCACGTGGGCAGGGGTAGCCACCAGACACTCGAGTGTTGGCGGTCATGACTGCAAAGTTTTTGATCTACAGCAAATTGAGCCAAAGAGCCCGTTGGGTGAGGCCCTATCCCTGTGTTAAGTGCAAGACTTGGGTACGGGTCGTGGGCACCAGGCAGCTGAAAATGCTTTCCCACCTTTTCTCGAACAACGCCAATACCACGCTCATCAGACGCGTTGAGCTCCAAGACACGTTCCTTCATGAGTTGTGGCCTATGCAATGGGTGCAAAGAGCGAGTGGCGTTAAATGAGGGTGGGCCATGGTTGGTTAACACCTCGCTACGGGTCATCGCATGTTGCTTACCCAAAGAATTCGCGGGCCACGGCCAAGATCGTGGAGGTCTTGCCTGTCCCAGGGGGACCATAGAACAGGGTGTGGGGCATCTGCGAATGCATCGACTCGCGATGAACTCTTGTGGACGGACGGGGAGTTTGGCATGGCAAGGTAAATCCAGCATGACTCACGTCTCCTCCAGCCACACACTTTTGCAACATGGCCACGACTTCACTCTGGTGCGCCACATCATGCGTGGTCTTTGGGCGACTATGTTCCATCCACGGCACACCGCGTCGGCGTCAATTTGCGGCGAGTCCAACCACAGAAGGTGAGCCGTTTGTAGAAACACACATGAAAAAAGATAAAATAAAAGCCATTTGATCTCCCCCGGGTCAAGTGACGAGGGCCAGCAGCGGTGAACCGGCACGCACTATTTCTCAACCCAAGGCTTCTCCACCGGCGCCTTGGTGGCCGATCGCTTGTTGACCTGAAAAAAAGAAGCCATTGCGCCTGCGAAGGAAAGATCCTTTTGCGCGTGAGCCGGTTGTCTCATCAACCTTTTCCATCACCTCTCTACCACAACAACAACGACGACAACAACGAAGACCCTTCCCACCACAAACACCACGACCAGTACCACCACCACGTCCCGGTCCCACCGCCACCACGACGTACCTTCCAGTGTGTGTGTGTGTGTGTAACGGCTAGTTGGAAACTACCAAGCAAAGTGCCACATAAGTCACATGTTGAGATGAAGTGTTGTTATATTCACACTTCCGTTCACGAGTGCTCTGTTTTTCTCTTTTTTCGTCTCTCTATCTCTCTCAGTTTTCTCTCTCTCTCGGCTCTCAGCTCTCTGTTTCTGTCTCTCTTTGAGGTCGTTGAGGTCGTTGAGTGTCGTTTGCTCGGTGTAGTGACGGCGGCCGAGGTATCGGTGTTGTTGTTGGCGACCGTTTTGGCGGGAGGGAAGTAGGGTAACGGGCGGAAGGAGCGCGGCGTTGCCAGCTCGAAAGGATGGCGGGCCTGCAAACTTGGGTGTCGGACGAGCTCCACAACTTGCTGGGCTACTCGGACCGGACGGTGGCGGATTTTATTATTGCCTCGGCTCAGCGAGCCAAGTCAAGCAATGCCCTGTTGAGCGACCTTACCGCCACCGGCACGCTTTCCAGTGATGCGTACGTCGACCATCGATCTGTGCCTGTGCCTGTGCCGGTGTCTGTGCCTGTGTCTGTGCCTGTGCCTGTGTCTGTGCCTGTGTCTGTGCCTGTGTCTGTGCCGGTGCCTGTGCCGGTGCCTGTGCCGGTGCCTGTGCCGGTGCCTGTGCCGGTGCCTGTGCCGGTGCCTGTGCCGGTGCCTGTGCCTGTGCCTGTGCTCGTGCCGGTGCTGGTGCTGGTACTGGTGCCTTTCATTTCATCTCATCAACGTCTGCCTGCTTGCTGGGACCACAGCAAGACCAAGGCGTTTGTGGACCAGTTGTATGATCGCGTGCCCCGCAAATCGAGTGCCGCGGTATGCACATGCGATTCCAACAGGCGCTTGCTCACCGCTGCATCCCACCCCGTATCTAATTGGCATCTCTTTTATCATTCCTCTGTCTCCCGTGTCATGTGTAAACGACCCGGTACAGGCCACGGCTCGAAATCGCCAGCGGGAGCAGGAGGCCCGCGACATGGCCAAGCGCAATGCCAGCTACTCGCTGCTTGAGGAAGAAGACCTTGACCCCGTCCCGACCAAAGTATCTTGATGCCCATTAAACTTTTTTTTTTGTTCTGTAGTATAGTCGTCTCAATGGCCTGTCACAAAAATGTACCAAGGAACTTGCTTGATTCGAGGCTCACGTCAAATCAATCGTCTTTTGGTGCCTCGAATCTAGCTGAAGAAGAAAGAGGAGCGGCGCAAGCACACACGCCAACGCACAATGAAGTTGGATCAAGATGACGACAGTGGTAGCACGTCTCGTCGCAATCGCAAGTCGGCTGCGGCCAGTCAGGATGACGGCGAAGACGAACTGGCCAAAGCCGGTACGTCGCCACGGCCCTGGCATATTAGACCATCACGGTGGTTTTCATTTCAAAACTGAGCCCTAATCATGAGTGTGGCCTTTGTTTGTACTTGTGTCAGAGGCCGAACGGTTGCAGGACTTGGAGGAACGCGATGCCTTTGCGGCGCGTCTGCGGCAGCGCGACAAGGACAGCACCCGTAACGTCGCCCCCACCGGCTCCAAGAAACGCATGGAAGAAGCCAAGGCACGACTGGAGCAGGCCGAACAGGATCGCAAGGCTTTGGTCCCTCAGCTCCGTGAAAGGGCACGACAAAAATACCTGGGAGAGCGCAAAGTCAAGAAAATGGATGAACTGGAAGCAGAAATTCGCGACGAAGAGACACTGTTTCGCGGTGAACTGACCAAGGCTGAACGGCGCAATCTGGAGCAAAAGAAGAAAGCCCTGGATCTGGCCCGCCAGCACGAACAACTCGAGCGCAAGCTCAAGGTCGACGCTTATGAGATGCCCGAACAGTACGTGAACGACCGAGATCAAACCTGGGACAAGGACAAACAAATGTCCGTTCTGAACCGACGCTACGAGGAAGTGCCCGCCGATGAGTACGCCGGTAACGTCGAGCAAAAATTGTGGGAGGAGGATTTGCTCAACATGGCCCACATCAAGACTGGTAAGTGCGTTCAAGGCGTCGCCGCGCCGGGCCGATGGTTTGGTTTGTCTCCGTCCTCGCCCACTTGACTCAGTCCCTCCCGCTCACAAGCGCGTTTGCGTGCATCATACCGCCATAGGCGCCAAAGATGCAGCCAAGTATCATCAGCAAGATGATTACGATCTGGTGATTGACGAAGAAATCAACGAAATGTTTGTCAAGGGCCACCAGCTTGGCGGCACCATGTCTGAGGAAGATGCGGTATGCGCAGCGTCGTTGCGAGCCCAGCGGGTGTAGGAGCCCCGAGGCTGTAGGAAGTGGCAGAGGTTTCAAGTTGATTTTGCCTGACTCATTGGGCTTATTCCACCTTGTTCTCGCGTCTGCAGGTACCCCAAGAGAGCGAGGCGGAAAAGGCCCGCAAATCCATCCAAGAGGTGCGCCGCAGCCTCCCAGTGTTTGCCTATCGGGAAGCCTTCCTCAAGGCAGTCGAGGAGTACCAGATTATCATCATCGTTGGTGAGACGGGTTCTGGCAAGACCACCCAGCTGCCCCAATACCTGGTTGAAGCCGGTTATACCAAAGGTGCGCAACGGCGTGCAGGCCAAGCGTGTCATGGCTGGATGGAACACTTGTCCCCTCCCCCCCTTTTTTTTCCTTTTTTCTCAAGGCTGACCACATCTATCGTTGCCCGAGTAGACAAAAAGCGTATTGGGTGCACACAACCCCGACGCGTGGCCGCCATGTCTGTGGCCGCTCGCGTGGCTCAGGAAATGGATGTCAAGCTGGGTATGGAGGTGGGCTACAGTATTCGCTTCGAGGACTGCACCTCGGAGCGGACTGCGCTAAAGTACATGACCGACGGCATGCTGCTACGCGAGTTTTTGGGTGAGCCTGACCTGGCCTCCTACTCGGTAATGATGATTGACGAGGCGCACGAGCGCACCCTCCACACCGACATCCTCTTTGGTCTCGTCAAGGACATTGCTCGCTTTCGCTCAGACCTCAAGCTGCTCATCTCCAGGTACAGTGCTTCGCCCAAGGTGCTTTGGTACCAGCCACCAGTCGACATTGCTTCACATCCGCCCATGCGACTGGTCTGCCATGCGATAGTGCAACGATGGACGCCGAAAAGTTTTCAGCATACTTTGATGATGCACCCGTCTTCAAAATTCCTGGCCGGCGCTTTCCGGTGGACATTTTCTACTCCAAGGCGCCCGAAGCAGATTATCTCGGTGCTGCTGTCGTCTCAGTGCTTCAGGTGAGCCCAAAGCCGCACACAGCCACTACTCTGTCGCTGCAACCCTTGTGCCGTACTCATGGGCTTGTATGCGCTAAACGGGCTCTGTCGATTGGTGGCTCATGATGGTTGGCCTGCCTGTGCATTGCGATCTGTGCAGGTGCATTTGACTCAACCGCCGGGTGACATCCTTGTCTTCTTTACCGGACAAGAAGAGATTGAGGCTGCCAAGGTATCACCAGCTGGCTTTATTTGATGTTTGCAGCTCACCAGAAACATGCAGAGGCCTTGCTCACCTGCCGGATGGTTGGGGCTGGCTGGCTGGCTCTTGTTAGGAGGCTTTGGATGAGAAGGCTCGACGCCTTGGGTCCAAGATCGCCGAGCTCATCGTCCTTCCCATCTATGCCAACTTGCCTTCTGGTGGGTGGCACGGCACTTGTTGCAGCTACTGAGATGCACGCGGGGTGCATGGTTCTGACATGGTCTCACGTATGGTGGCCCGTGCATGATGTTTGCCCTTGCCGACCTTGCGTTAGACATGCAAGCCAAAATTTTTGAGCCGACGCCGCCTGGGGCGCGCAAGGTGGTTTTGGCGACCAACATTGCCGAGACGTCGCTCACGATTGACAACATTGTCTACGTCATTGATCCGGGCTTCTCAAAACAAAAGTCGTACAACCCTCGCACTGGCATGGAATCATTGATTGTGACGCCTTGCTCCCAGGCTTCAGCCAACCAGCGTAGCGGTGCGTGCTCATGTTCTGGCTTGTCGCGTTGCGGAGGCTAGCAGTGTTTTTTTTTTGGTCGCCATCTGGACGTTGCTCAAAAGCGAGCGACAGCTGGTTATTAATGTCCTGTGTCTCGCGCTGCATGGGTGGGAGGCAGGTCGCGCTGGGCGCGTGGCGGCGGGCAAGTGCTTTCGTCTGTACACCGCCTTGGCCTTTCAACAGGAGATGGAACCCAATACGATTCCCGAGATTCAGCGCACCCATCTTGGAAACGTGGTGTTGTTGTTGAAAAGCCTGGGCATCAACGATCTGATTCATTTTGATTTCATGGACCCCCCGCCAGCGGAGACGCTCATCCGTGCCTTGGAGCAGCTGTATGCCCTCGGGGCGCTCAACGACAAGGGCGAGCTCACCAAGCTGGGCCGGAGGATGGCCGAATTCCCCGTGGATCCCATGATGGCCAAGATGCTCATTGCCTCGGAGAAGTACGGTGTGGTGGAAGAGATTCTTTCCATCACAGCCATGCTCAACACGGGCGGCTCGCTCTTTTATCGACCCAAGGATAAGGTAGGTCAAGCCGAGGCGTAAAAACCTGACCGACATGACAGCTGACGCTTAGCTGACCACGCCCTCTTCCATCACCATGCATCACGTGCACGTGCTAATCTGTCTGCTTGCCGGCCATTGCTAGGGGGTGCATGCAGACAATGCGCGGATCAACTTCCACCGGCCTGGTGGCGATCATCTGACATTGCTCAATGTGTGGACTCAATGGGAAGAAACCAACTACAGCATGCAGTGGTGTTTTGAAAACTATATCCAACATCGATCAATGCGCCGGGCGCGAGATGTGCGCGATCAGCTGGCGGGCCTGGTGGAGCGCGTGGAGATTGAGCTGTCATCCAATCCCAGTGACTCGATTGGCATTCGCAAGGCCATTACTGCAGGCTACTTTTACCATACGGCCCGCCTCGGGAAGGGAGGCAACTACAAAACGGTGAAGCACCAACAGTCGGTGAACATTCATCCCCAGAGCAGTTTGTTCGAAAAGAACCCACGGTGGGTTTTGTACCACGAGTTGGTGTACACGACCAAAGAGTATCTGCGCAACGTGATTGAGATTGAGAACACGTGGTTGGTCGAGGTCGCGCCGCACTACTACAAGCCCAAGGACATTGAGGATACAGCCAGCAAGAAGATGCCAAAGTCCAAGGGCTTGGCCTCGGATGCCAAAGCATAGAAGATGATGACTGGTTATGAGCCCATGTGGGCTTTAAATTGAAGATGGATGCCACCACAAGTGCACAGGCTCGGCCCAACTTGCACTTGACCACCAGCAACCCCTCACTTCTCCCCTCCTTCTCAGGACCAGGTTGGATGGGGGTGGGGTGGTAAGACTCATCAATATGGGTGCATTTGGGGCCTAGTGAAGCTGATCAAAGTTTAAGTTGCCGTACTCGCAGTCAACGCCTGAGACACCAATCGCAGGAGGCACGCCGATGGGCAAGTGAGGGCGGCAGAAGTAAGAGGAGCACAGGTCATGATGCCGCACAGCGCAGAGGGCGAGATGGGGTGTTGGGCAAACCTTGAGGGCAAAGACGACTTTTGACGTGCTGGACGAGATGTTCGTCGCTGTGATGATCGACGCCTCGCCAGGGGTCGATGATGAAATATTGGACAGGAAGGTAGAGTACGAAGAAAATAATAAGGGTCAGCGCACTGCGAACCAATTCCAGATACCAGCCAGCTCCGGCTCCATCTTCATTCATCCGTTCGCCACCTCCATGTGCGGCAGCCGCTGCTGCGCCTTGTGATGCAGCTTGTTCAGTTGAAGAACGCCTGCCAGACCACGATCAAATCAGACGTGGCGGTGGCGGTGGCAGTGGGCCAAAAGTGGGATGTGCGTGAGCCGAGGTCAACATCCAGCACAAACGCACCGAGCCAAGCCTACCGAGACGCATCGTCACTCATATGACCAGCTTCATCCGTTGCCGTTGCAACCCGCCGCCGCTGCCGGACGTATCCCGCCGCCGCACCCCTGGCCTCCTCCCCCACAGACCGACTGGAAGGCCGCGGCGCGCGCTCACTCATCACGATGGCGGCCTGAGACGAAGACGAAGAAGAAGCAGTTGAGAAGAAAGAGAAGAAAGGTTTGAAGAACTTGCTTGGATAGATAAAGAATATGAAGACGTGTATAGAGTTAACGACGCAAAATATCATTTTGTTGATCTAATTAAGCTAAAAGCTTGTGGAAAGATGAAGTGAAACATCCAACAAACGTCGTTGGACTCCAAAAAAATGTAGAAAAAAACTCAGAAGATGTCAATGCTGAGAGTTTTAATTTTCTTCTCCTTGAGAGAGAGAGAGAGAGCGTGACGGACGGCCACTGAGCGACGCTGGGCGAGCGGATAGAAGCACAGCGTGGTTGTGGCTTGGGCGTCGGATTTGATGGCACCCCCGTGTTCTCGGGCATAGGCTGGTGTAGAGCGAACAGGGTCCGCGAGTCGACTTTGTCAGTGTGCGGCTAGCCATGCTGCCAATTCGGTCTGGGTTCGGCGTTGTGCGGCGCATGGCGTGCCTGAGCCGGGGTCTATCGCCCAGCGCGCCATGGCTGTCACCAAGCCGGGTACCAGCTCAGGTATCGGTGCGCTGGGCCTCGCGATGGGCAGCTGGCACCAAGCGTCGTTCGCTGTGGCGGCTCCCAGGTCTCGTTCTGCGCGTCGGACTGATGACTTTTGGTATGTGGTCAACGTCTCCGGCCAGGTAGAGCCGCGTCAGCTGATTTGCATGGGTGCTGAGACCTTTCGCAGCCTCATAGAGACGGTCATATTTTTGGGTCTCGTAGGTGCGTTTCATCTTCTCAATGCTTTGTACATGTCCATTTACGAGGCGGACGCCATTGAGGAGGTGAGAGCTGACAGGACGAACATTCACAGAAGTGGCTTGATGTGGCCGAGTTTGACGGCCATGCGTGACGCAGCTTGGCGTTTATTGGTCTTCTGATCTCATGTGCGATGGGTCACTGCCTTGTGTCTCTGATGCCACGTGTAGCGGTTACTGTTTGAGGAGCGCGAGCGGCAAATTCTATGGGTTGACGACCTGGATTCGGACGAGGTGAGTCCCTTTCTTGCCCTTGGCACTGTGCACACATGGGGCCCAATGGGAGCTTAAGGACCCGCGGCGCTAGTTTGGCGTTGCTACTGCTGCCCTGTCATAGCATGACCACGCGCGAGAAAGCCTTGCACCATCTCACTCGACTGCATCTTTGCCTGCACCTTTGCGCACCAGGCGTACGGGAAGCGAGAGGCCCTCGTGCTGCTCAGCGAGAAGCTGCGCAACAACCCACAGCTTGTGGAGCGACTGGGCATGGACATTACTCTTCTGCCTCTGCACTACGACCGTGTCAACTTCCGGCACCAAGTGGGCTTGACCGAGGAGCAAGCTGCCAGATCCATCATTCCCTCCTGGACCAATAGTTTCCTGCTTCACGGTCCTCTGGGCGAGTATGTTCCCCCCGCCTCCTCTCGCCGCCCTTCTTTTGGGCCAGATGCATCTTGAACTCTTTGCTTGCTGACGCGTGTGCTGTGTGTATGGTTTGTGGATCTGCAGTGCGCAGGGCACGGTACGCTGCCAACTATCGGATGGTCGTTGGATCCCCATGGAGCTGCATGTCCGCTTTTGCGACATGAACCGAACACCAGACTTGCTGATGAAGGGCCTCGAACCGCACGGCATTGCCTATGTGCAGCTCTTTGAGCCTGGCGAATAAGCTACTTCCTGTCCTTGGCCAGCCCACTGCAGCAGCAATGACTTACCGCTTCGAGGTTTTTTAGCATTTGAATTGACATGTGAATTTTTTTTCACACAAACACATCAGCAAATGTCAGATTTTCGAGTTGGGCCGACTTTCTGTTGCAAAAGTACGAGTTTATGCTTTGTCATCACGTCATGTAGCGTAATAAACAGTGAGGTTATCGCTGTATACGGATGAGTTTATGCATGAGATGTGGCATGCATGCATGGAGCCGAAAGACACATACCGACCGGCAAAGTTGGCCTCGGGCGTTCCGCCGGGCGCCACCCGACTGATGGATTGCAAGGACACGGCTAGCAGGCAAAGGCAGCAAGGCACGAGACCATTTCCATTCATTTTGTCGCTGTGCACTTCTCCCCGTGCAGTGCGACCGTTTACTTGACGCATACGTGTTGGGCGTCTGCCTGCTTGAGCAGAACTCATTCACCGAGGGCGGGGCCATTAAGGCCAGATCGCTCTTGTGTTGAACCATGGTTGCATTGGCTACCTTGACCCTGCTGGGCCTCAACTTTAGCTCGTATGTCTTGGATCCCCTCGGGCCGCAAGCGACACGTCTTGCCTTTCAGGCATGGCATCAGCTGCGCACCGATGGGGTGGTGGACGAGTACGACGTTCAAGAAATTGCCGTCCGAGGCAACGAGACCACCACCACGGTGACATTCTGGGCAGAGTCGACTGCTGTTGCCGACCGCATCAGCGTCGCCGTGGACGAGGGCCTCTGCTTTACATTTGAGCGACAGCTGGCCTGCAGCTTTGGGATTGGACTGGAACCTACTGATGAGCCGTTGGATCCGACCAGTACCAGCAGCGTTGATGTGCTGCGCACCAGCACTGCCACGCTGGTGCACTCTTCAACTGGCACACCAGTGACCACGACGACGAGTCCTGAGGCGACCCCGTCGGCGCAAGGGTTTTGGAATCAGCTGCAAAGTGGGGCTACCTTTGCCAACCCCATATTTGTGGTCATCTTCATTCTGCTATGTCTCTTGACGCTTGGCCTGCTCTCGTATTTGTGCTGCTCGGAGCGCTTTCGAAGCAATAAGCGGCGTGTTCAACAAGAGGAGATGCAGCGAGCCCTCGAAGAGCTGGCTCGTTTGGATGCCTTTGGACAACCGGGACAGCCCTCGCCATCGGCCCATGCCCACGACTAGGGCACCACCCTATTTGCCAGCACGTGCTCTGGCCAAGCAGCTTTTGCAGACCGACCGGACTAATTGAATCTAGTGAGCCCCGAACTCCCGCTCAATCTTCCTATTCTATCCAATGGATACAGGCTGCACTCAGAACACACGACCAGTCTTTCCGATACGTCGGGGCAGTCACTCATACGAGCAGACGCACAGCATGAAAAAACCTGAGGGGAGCTTGTCGAGTGAGAGCTTGTCGAGTGAGAGCTTGTCGAGTGAGAGCTTGCCCGGTGAGAGCTTGTCGAGTGAGAGCTTGCTGAAGGAGCTCGCCGAATGAGAGCTTATTCGGTGAACACACACACACACACACACACACACACACACACACACACACACACACACACACACACACACACACACACACACACACACACACACACACACACACACACACACACACACACACACACACACACACACACACACACACACACACACACACACACACACACACACACACACACACACACACACACACAACTTTTTTTCTCTTTTTCTTGTTTTTTTTGTGTTTGTTTTTCGCATTTTTTTTTCTTTTTTTGCTGAACCGCAGGTCATGTCGACGTTGGCGCGCAAGCGGTTGTTGCGGGATCTGAAGAAGATCAAACTTGACAATACCGATGGCATCATCGCTCACCCGCACAGCAATAACTTGATGCGCTGGACGGCCACCATTTTCGGGTACGTCGGACACACGGGTGAACGTCAGCGATGCGCTTCCGAATGAAAGTGCTTGTTGTCACGCGCCGCTCCTGTGACGCAAATCCATCTCTCTCCACCTGCTTGCTTGACCCTGGTGGTGCGCTGACACACACTCATGCACTCGTGTTTGTTGTCGACTCGATAGACCGCCAGACTCGGTTTTTGCCAACGGGGTTTTTCGGTTACAGCTCGATTTTCCAGAAGATTACCCGACACGAGCGCCCAAGGTCGTTTTTGTCACCGACGTCTTTCATCCCAACGGTTTGTCTTGACCCAAGCAAGCGAAGCGAGTCAAGCTTCCTAGTCCAAAAGACGTTTCCTCCCCACAGACGTTTCCTCACCACTTTTCTCCCCGTTCAATCGAGCAGTATATGTCAACGGCGAGATTTGCTTGGACATTCTCCAGAAACAATGGAGCTCAGCCTACAATGTCGGCACCATCCTGACTTCGATTCAGTCGCTACTCGATGAGCCCAACCCAGATAGCCCCGCCAACAACGAAGCTGCCAAGTGGGTGACACCTTTGCATGCGACGTGGAATGTGCTGCTCGCCACCTTGGCGCGTGTGGGTGGCGAGCCGTCTCTTTGCCCTGTCATCTTGATGCTCGCTCACACGCCCATTGCGCCCTCCTTCTTTAGGCTGTTTGTGGACGATAAGATGGAATACGAGCGTCGAGTTCTGAAATGTGTTGAAGCCAGCTGGATTGACGGCGGTGAGCTCACATGCCTTTTGATTGTCGCTCTCACCACCAGCCGTGGAGCGAAAGAGAAGCAAGGAAAGAAAGAACAGTCAAGATGCATGAGCAACACATTGGCGACACCCACTGCCCCTCACCCCTCTCACCGCCCACCTGGTACCGCAGGCATGTCTGCCCTCAAGCGGGCCAAGATCGATGCCGCCTCCAGCCCAGCATCGACTTCAACATCGGCATGACACTGCAGATCACGAACGCAGTGAACGTTTTCATGTTTTGACAAGGGCTGAGCCCTGTTCGCGTTGAATTGACTCTCTCTGACTTAAAGTGTGACGCCATCTCCACTTTTCTTTCTTCAAGCTAACACTGTCATCTGGTAGCGGGACAAAAGCCTCAACACAAGCACAACAAGACATAAAGTCCACATGCCCATATAACCCCCGCCAGCTCCGCCCTCTTCTTCCCCTTCCTTCTCTGTCTCTGTCTCTGTCTCTGTCTCTGTCTCTGTCTCTCTCTCTCTCTCTCTCTCTCTCTCTCTCTCTCTCTCTCATATTCTTTCTCTCCATCCGGATCGGGGGGTCTCTGCGTTGACGTCGTGTTGTCCCGCAGGCTCTTTTCCTTGTGTGTGTGTGTGTGTGTGTGTGTCCCGTCGCTGCCTGGTCTACCACCGGCGGTTGACTCAAGTCGTTGCGCTGCGGGCTGATGCGCCTGCTTCTTGTTTCCAGACTCGTGGCTGCCATCCATATCAAGCTGACGGACTGACCGACTGGCTTGATCGGAGCCCGTCGCCAGCCGCCCCGCCTCGCTTTGCAGCAGAGCCTCCTCGGCTTGGGTCCTGAGCGCGCCTCCCCGATTGCAGTCCCCATGCTCGGCATTCGCCTGGCTTCTTCCAAGACAAAGCCTTGTTGTGATTCCTGCTGTGATCGTCTCATCGACGCCAGGCCCGACGCACGCCAACTCGTGGGCTGACCTTTGCCTCGGAGCGTCGACGCCCTCGACACTCCCAAGACCGCCGCCCTCCTCCTTGCTCCGTCGCGATGAGCGCGACCAAGAAGAACGACATTTTTGTGGCACTGGATGACTATGCCTCCCAACACAAGGGTGAACTCTCCTTTAGCAAGGGCGACAACTTTAAGATTCTCAAAAACGCCGCGCCTGATGATGGGTACGCCCCCTCTTGCCTTGCCCCGCTCCCTTTTTGACGCATCTTGCCATGATCGCCGCGCATCCGCCATGCGCCATGGCCTCCTCTGCCAACTTTTTTTTTTTTTTTCGCATTGTCCCATTCCCTTCCTTGGATGCCTCGTGCATATGGATCCAACCAACTCACACAACCACTTTTCTCTTGTGTGCTGTGGCCGCTTGTTGTCTCGACTCGTCACGTCACACTAGATGGTGGAATGCACAGAATCTGAACACGAAGAAAAAGGGCTGGATCCCCTGCTCGCTGGTAGCCCTTGACGGTTTGTTCCACGCAGGTCTATCCTCCCCTGCTCTGCCTTGATCCCTTCCCATACGCTTCCCTGACTCGCTCTGCATCCACCGCATCACCTAACCCCACAGGCTCCCTGGAGTTGTTCGATTGGTGTCATGGTGCCATTTCACGCAACGGCGCCGATTACCTGCTTAAACAACACGGTATTGATGGCATGTACCTTGTGCGCGAGTCTCAGAGCCAACCCGGACAGTACACGCTGGATGTTTGGAAAGAGGGCAAGTCTGTTCACTATCGCATTACCAAAGGCGATGAAGGCTACTTTTTTCGCCAAGGTTGGTCTGCGCCTGCCCGTCGGCAAATTGCTGCCCATCAACGATGACCCCTTTGAACCTGCCCCATGGTACCCCATCATCTCACCCGGCCGTCCTGACCATGTTGCAGGCGTTTGCTTTCCCACCATTCCCGAGTTGATTCAACATCACCAGACCCGCTCCGATGGCCTCTGCTCAAGCCTCGATCACATCGCCCCCAAGGCCCATGCCAAGACGATCGTCATTGGCATGGACATGGAAAAGAAATGGGAGCTCAAGCGCTCTGAAGTCATTCTCGGGGATCGGCTTGGTGGTGGCAACTATGGTGAAGTATTCAAAGGCATCTACAACAACAAAACCGTGGCCATCAAGACCATCAAGGAGGAGTCGATGGAAACGGTCGAGTTTATGAAGGAGGCCCACGTCATGAAAAAGCTGCAGCACCCCAACCTCGTCAAACTCATCGGTGTTTGCAGCACCGAGCTGCCCATGTACATTGTACAAGAGTTTGTCCCTTACGGCGACCTTCTCTCGTATCTCCGCCTCCCCCAATCCCGCATACAGCTGGACCATGTCTCCATGCTCTACATTGCTCAACAGATCGCCGATGGCATGTCCGCCCTCGAAGCCCAAAATACCATCCATCGCGATTTGGCTGCCCGCAACTGTCTCGTCGGTGAGAACCTGTCCGTTAAAGTTGCCGACTTTGGCATGGGCCGAGTCGTGGATGACCTGTACACGGCTCGCACTGGCACCAAGATGCCGATCAAGTGGACGGCCCCCGAGGCCCTCTGCTACGATGCCTTTTCCGTCAAGTCGGATGTCTGGTCCTTTGGCATCACTCTATGGGAAATTGCCACGTTTGGTGATGTGCCTTACCCCGGCCTTGAAGCCCGTGACGTTATCAACCAGCTCGAGGGTGGGTATCGCATGCCTGAACCTCAGGACTGCCCGGCCGGTCTCTATGAAATCATGACCCAATGCTGGGCCCTTGAGTCACGCGAGCGCCCCAGCTTTTTCGACCTTCAACATCAGCTCGATGATCTTCACAAAAACACAAAGGGTGAGTACTTGGTTGGCCGCGACTTGTCTGCGCATGAGACGGTGACGCAGGCATCCCTGGCGTTTGCTTCCGCCCTGCACCAATCTGTATTGTGCTTGGATTTGCGCCCTTGGCTTCTTCAAGGCCATGAGCCTCTACCCAACAGCTTTCCCAGTCTCTTGTCTTTGCCATGACATGACATGACCGTCTCCTTGCACCTTGTCACTCATGTCAAATCTCTCTTTTGCAGGCGAGGCATCTGGATCTAAGCTCGAGCGAACCAAGTCTCAAATGGGCACCTCGTGGCGCAAGGGGTTTGAGGGAGACAAGAGTGTCGACAAAGATTTGATTGCTCAACTCATTGATCTTACCCGCGAGATCTTCAGCGTGAGCCAGGTAGGCTTTTGCAATATAGAGCGCACGTGCAAATGCTGCACGTGTTTCTCACCTGCCTTGAAACAATGAAAAAAAAATCGTTCCTGGTCAAGAGGCTTGGCTTTGTTGCTCACCTCAGTTTGACCCGTGTGTTCTTTGATAGCAATTGTTCCGCTACGGTACAGACGACACGTATGGCGAAATGGTGGAGAGTGTCAGCGCCAGCGTCAAGGCATTGTTGCAGGTTGCAAAGAATGTCAAAGCACTCGACAAGGTCACCTTGAAGAAACTCTCGGTTTCAGCCGCCGCGTTAGCCAAAGCTAAAACAAGCGAAAAGGCCAAGCCTTGTGCCGAGTCTATTCGCGATCTGGCCCGAGAACTCAACAAGGCCTCGCGTCTTCTTTAGCTTTGACCTGTTTCGACCGCTCGTAGGATTTCTTTTTTTTTTTTCTTTTTTGTCATCTTGTTCTATGACATTGTGTTCTTTCGATCGTGGCCTCTCGTCATCAAGTGACTGTGGCTAATCTCACGCCTAGAGTCTTAGTGATTCGCGTCCTCCCTGAATACAGTTTGTTCCACCTGTCTTGCCTGAGCTTGTTCCGCTCTTTCTTGGCTTGGCCTCCGTTTTCGGCCACCAGCGAAAGAACTCCCACGCGCCCAAGAATCGTCTCCATTTGCATTCGCTGCGATCGGCGGGCAAGCGCTTGCCAGTCCCTTGTTTGTGGGCTTCTTCGTGTTCTTAACATGTAAGGACATGTTCCTGACCTGTGCCTGCGAGTGTGTGCACGCGTGTTTTATCATTAAACCATTTGCCAGGATACTTGTACTTTGTTGTGGTCCATTGCTCACGTGTATGGTCATGCTTCGCACTTGGGGAAGTGCAGCTCCAAAAGTTTTGGTTTGAGTTTGATTTTGTTACCTTCTGTGACGTTCCCTCACGTTTCTTTTTCCCCCTGAAATCGCGCCATGTCTGCTTGTTGCAAACTACTGGTGCTACCCGGTCCGTCTGGCCCTCGGCGTTGGCCAGTCCATGATTCTCCTCTTTTGACCCAATTGAGCCGGGCAAATCTGAGAAGAAGCACGTTGTTTGGGAATGGGGCGTCGATGTTCTACTCGCACATGCGAGCGACAAATGGTTCAAAATTGGGCTCACGACCCAAGTACTGTTTGACCATAGTCTTGCCGTCGACAGTCGCTCCTGAAGTACATGAAGCATTGGCGCCGTCAGAATGTGATGCGTGATCATCTCGAGGTCAAGGTTGGACTCCAACGTGACATACCGGGGGCCAAAATATGGCGACGGATCTCAGCGCCCTGCTCGGGAACCAACAGGGAACCGCCAGCTCGCTCCTATAATGGAATCCCAAGTTGAGAGCAGTGAAAAGTGATAGGCAGTGGACCACATCGGAAGGCAGGAAAAAACCGCCGTGTTTCAATGGGCACCTTGAAAGTCTGAAGCAGATCCGTAGCCACGGCCTCAGACCACGCATAGCTGTAGTAACTATTTTTGTGCGTGTGCCAAAGACATAAGAGCAGTGGCGGGGGACTTGAGACACAAAGAAGCGCTCCAGCAGAGACATACCCAGCGTCATAGCCCATGACGGGATGATACCAAGCGGTCCAAGGGTTGGCGTCAGGCTCAGCAGGCAACAGAGCATACTTCAACCGCAATTCATTGTATACTTGCAAGGGGTCTGCAAAGTCACTTTGAGTGTGCACAGACGCGGGCTGGTCAGATTCTCTGCGACATGATGACACAGGGTAGAATCGCATGCGCACAAACGTATGAATGGCACGAGCTGCATACTTCATGTGAACACGAAGATCGGCCATGGCCATGTAGAGGTACCGCAGTTCGCCCCAAGCCTTGTTGTGGAATCGTGAGGCAATCAAGCGCTCTACAGCATCATCTGGCAAGGGGCTAGACCATGCCAGAGTTCCATTCAAATGGCGCCCAACAAGGTTGGAGTAAGACGAGGCCCTTGCACATGAAGAAAAGCACGGCGTCGCGCCCTTACGCCAATGTTTTAAAGTGGCACGAAAGCTTGCGGAGAACTGAGGCATCCCAGGTCCAGTTTTCAAACATCATCGATGGCACCTGTGTCCAGTCGCGTCAAGATAGTCGTGGGTGTAGCTGAGGGAAAGCTCGCGGAACTCTGGGATTTTTTTTAAAAAACAAAACAAAAAAACATGGCGATTGCAATCAAGTCTGTCACCCAACCAGCACAGACTTTTGCTCGTACCTCAAGGTAGTCGTACTCTACGCCTGCTGGGTAGGGTACGATGGACCAGGCCCAAGCGAAACGCGCATACTTGCTCGAAGTACAAACGCCGTGACACACATGGCCAAATTCGTGAAAGAATGTTGTCACTTGTGAATGACGCAAGAGCGCGGGTTGGTCCGCCGTGTTGCGGGGAAAGTTGGCAATCATGGCCACAATGGGCGTCTGTTGTTGTCCATCCCGCACGCAGCTGGGGCGGATAGGCATGACGCACTGATGTCCATATTTACCCGGCCGTGAATGCATGTCCAAGAAAAAATGACCTGCTCCAGTCATCGCCAAAAACAACGCGTGACAACCAGAAGCGTGAGCAGTCGGATCAGCGAATAGCTGGTGTGCAACGTAATGTGCGTGCTTCATGTGCACGGGGTCAACTCGGTCAAAAAAAAAAAAAAGAGTCGCTGCACCACACACCGAGCAGCTCATCCGTGGAGTCGTCATGGACGGCAAAACAACGCACTTCTGGGTGCCAGCACTCGTCCCGGCTCAACTACAGCCATGAATTTTGAGACGCATGGTTACTTGTCAGCCGACACAGGGGCAGAAACCTTGCTGCAGACAACGAAACACTTGCCTCGTGAAACCGCAGATGCAAAAGGGAAGCGTACACCTCCATCACGGTATCAATGACCCGATCCAAGGTAAAATACTCACACATGAGATCTTCATCGATTTGAAATTGTTCATTGCGCTGCAGCAGGCCCCGAGATCACGTTGAAATGAATCGGCCTCTGAGGCGCGAATGGAATAGAAAGGGACAGTTCACCAGGCAGCAGACTGACCTGCAGCTTTTGAAAGTAGGCCAGATCCCAGGCTTCGAGAGTTGTGGCCTGTGGCTCTTGCGTACGCTTAAAGGCCAGAAGCCCTTCTTTTTGCTGAACGGCCTGCGGGAAGAAGCAGCAATTGACAGCCAGCAAGAGTGAGACCGACAGCAAACACGGTCAGAATGGTTCAGGGTCGAGAAATGGTGCTATTCAACACGAGTAGTTGGCCGTACCGCAGGTAAGAGACGATTGGCAATGCCTTGCAGAAAATCGAGGGCCGCATCGGCATTCTCGCACATACGACCGTCAATCATGACGTCAGCATGATGTTTTTTACCTGGAAAGGTTGTGCAGAGGACGGCATGAGCGCAGGGCCAATGATGAGGGCAGAGGAGGCAATGTACGAGGCAGGGCGCATGGTAGAATCCAGCCAGACTGCATGGTAGACATTGCTACGTGCCAAGAAGCTGGGCCATTTGTTGACGGACAGCAAAAACTTCTTGCAGACGAGGGTAGTTTTCAAGGCACCGCTGATTGCGCCGCTGTTCCATCGTCTTGCGGGTTTCCTAGGTATCCATGCAACCGGCGGGTGCAATGGCACGTTGTCAAGGATGAGACATGAACAATTCTTCTGCGCACAACACATTTGAAGACACGAGTAGACGTAGGCGTACCGCAACGTGGCACGAGGTCAAGACGGGTACGACGCTGGGCGCCTTGAGGGAGAGCACATATTCGTCGGTCTTGTCGTCACGGTCCCAGCCAGCCAAAACACCAGCCGGCACACCCTGAATGCGTGTGATTGAAGCGGCAGAGATGAGCTTTGTGCATTTCTGCATCTACAACTGGCAAGGGAACTCAGCTGGCGCGCACCTCAAGTTGAGCTGCGGTGAAGCGCACGGTGCTGTCCTCCTCATTGATAGTCTGCTCAATGGTAGCACAGAGCTCAGTTTCACGTTGCCGCAGCTTTTGCAGCGCGTCTCGATCTGCGGGAGTCAGCATCGAGCCGGCTCGCTCACACTCTCGGACCAGCCTGCGGGCGCCAGTGACGGTGAAATGAGCACAGGATATGGATATGGTGTACCCTAGAGCTCAATTTTGTAGCCAGCAAGGTAGAGCCACAGCAACGTACCGAACGACATAACGATGGTCTTGCTCGTCGAGGTTGACGCTGGCGCCGAGCTGGCGCCATTGGTCCAGCAGCACTTGGAGTCGCTCTGCGACGGCAACGTTGGCCGTGAGCTCACCAAAGACGGCTTTGAGCTGCGTCTTGGCTTCGACGCTGGCCTTGCGCACGGCCGGGTCGCTAGAGGAAGCTACCGAGGGCAAGACAGCCTCAATGGTTCGGGTAAACACCTAGGTGTTCGCAGCGCGCCGCAACACACGAGAGACATGAGGAGGCGGTCTGAGTCGGCATGAAGAAAGAACACTGCACTCGCCACCACCAGCATCATTGACAGCATGGCTGTCTGCATGCGGATGAGAAGCTACACGTTTGGGCGGGACCTACGTCAGCTTCGGCTTTGGCCAGCTGCTGCACTGCATGCCAAATGGCTCCAGTATCTTGCGCTGGTGCTTGTGCCAGCGTAGCGATGGCGTCTCGGTACCTACGAGCGCGACCCCACAACATCAGTCCACCGCATTAACTAAATCAGTGGCGGGGTCAAAAGACACAAGCACCCACCGCGTGACCAGCGTAGTCGCCAGCTGTTGCAACTCGTTGACGGGCCGCGTCCACCGCAGCAAGAACCGGTTGGCTGCCATAATCGAGGTGTCCAGTCCACTGACCAACAACAACAACAACAACTTGTGATTTTGAAAATAAAACAAGGTGAAGTCAAAAATTCCTTTCAGTTGTCAGACACTTTTTTTTTTTTTTCAAACTTTTTTTGTGATTTTGGAGAGCTGAATTCAAGAAAGGGTCATGCCCTATGGCGAGTTCTGGTTGTTTTGCGTATCATGGGTGTTAGGCATCGTTGTCTCTCACGGTGGTCCATTCGGTAAAAAAATAGTCTTGACTCAGGAACAGTACACACTGTAACCCAACACATTTCGCGCTCTCTGAAAGAACGCCACAGGTCGAAAGCAGAGGAAAAACACCACAAGACCATACCATCGATTTGAGGTTGGCCGTGGAGTGAAATAGCTGAGCTCAGCAACTTTTGTCCTCTAGAAGACTCAAGCCCCTCAGGTTGAAATAGCTGAGCTCAGCAACTTTTGTCCCCTGTGTCTTTGCATTTGGAGAAGACTCAAGCGCTGAGCTCAGCACACAAAGAGCGACCCTTTTCCTCTTTGGTGCCTTCTCCTGCATTTTCCTCCTTTTCCGGACGTCGTCTCCACTGTCTTTCCACACCACCAGAATGGCACGCTCAATCATCGCTCGCTGGGGGCACTGCTTTGTCGCAAGCAAGGTTACTGCCGAGTGTGGCTCATCGCTCTCCCACAACCAAGGGCAGTTTCCAGGCTCTCTTCGAATTGTTGTTGATGATATTGAGGTTGGCTATGCTGCCGTCATCTCCAACACCTTCATCCTCGTTCCCTCCCACGTGGCGAGCGTTAATGACCTGGCAAATGAGGTGGTCAAAGAGCAGGATTGGTCCATCTACCTGTGCGAGACCATTCCGGCTCCCGACGGTCAATCTGTGCCGCTTGGACAATATGTTTGCAGTGCTACGGGTGTCAAGTTTGGTTCGGGGGACTTTGTCATTGTTCAAATTAGGTCAGCTAATGACCATTCCGTTGTTGGCCCCATCAAACACTTTGAGGATCTTTTTCTCTTCGACGCTCCAAGCGGCACATACGACTATGATAAACTGGACATGGAGAATCCCGCTTTACCTGGTGACAGCGGCCTCTTGGTGCAAAAAAAAATCTTGCTGGGTGGAGTTTTAAGTTCCAGACAGGATGACGGCAGCTACACCAAGTTGGTCATGTTTGCCATGAAGGAAGCGCTTGACGTCTTAAAGCAAAGCCAAACTGTGCTCAACTCGACTTACGACCGCCAGGAAAGCCAGGTTGACCCTCGTGATGCCCCTTTGCTGCAGACTGGCATTTTTGTGGAAGGCCTGGACGAATATGTTGCCCTCAGCCTTGCCGATGACGTCAAGAGAGCGATTCAGAATCTTCCGCAAGATGGTGGTCGAATAACCTACGAAATCAAGCCTCGTGAACAAGCTGCTCGTACAGTTAACCTCACACTCAACAAGTACGACCGTACGGTGTTCTTGTCGATCCTGGCGCAAAAACTGAATAGAGGATTCCTCCCCTACGACACTGTCGACTACGGTGGTACGCAGTGCTGGGTAAAACATTCCATGCTCGAGAATGTGCGTATCTACACACATGTCGGTCGCATGGCACACGAAGCTAAACATTACAACTTTGACAACAATGGCGCCCAGTACCCTCATGACAAGGCATTGCAAATTACCGGCATCACACGTGCCGTCCTCTTGACCGAGGCCACCAAGGACGATGCTGTGGTGTGTCACCATCCACTGCTTTGTGAGTACAAATCTCACTTTGATGATCGCCTCAAGAAGAATGGTGTCCACACTTGCATCCGTCCTAGCCACTTGCTATTGTCTTCAGGATGCTTGAATGACTTGCACACGAAACTGAACCAGATCATGCATGGCCTTGGTGATCCAATTTGAGGCAATGTCGCTATCTTCAATTGTTTGTTGTTTCTCCGCCACTTTGCTTTTTGACTTGCTTTTGAAAGCATGCCTTATGTCGTTGTTTTCGCTTTACTTCCCTCTTTGCCGCGTTGCTTTCTGTGAAATTCAATTTTTTTTTTCTGCAGCTTCTCACTACTCATCAGGAAAGCATTGTGATCGTAAGAACTGAATGAATGAACTCGGATGTGTATTCATTTACATGTCAAGGAAACAAGAAAGTCCTCTGCGTACATTCGTCTGCGTGTCTGTGTAAGACTGGATGGCTGTGTGCCTGCGCGTGCCGGTGTGCGTGTCTGTGTTGGACTGTATGCTTGTCTGTCTGTATGGATGTCTGCATGCCTTACGCGTGCATGGCTGTGCCCGCAGCTGTGTCTCTGCAAATCTAGTTTTCGACTCTTTTTCTTCCAAGTCTCGAGTGCTTTGCATGCCATCATCATCATAGACCTTTTCGGCGTTCCATCGATTTGGACGAATCTCAACTTTTGGCACCACATGACCTGGTTGGCATGATTATTGAGGGTCGGCTGGCGTTTCGACAAGGCCTCGAGTTTATGTAGCAATGGCTGACAACCGAATGCCCGCAATAGTACGGCGGTAGTGGTAGAATAGAACACGGTCCGCGGGCACAGCCCGAAACGAGATGACAACGTAAAGCCAACAAAAAGTGTTTTGCTGATCTTTGGTCTGCATGAATGGCACAAAAACGCGCCCTTTTGCCATGCATCCTCCAGCTGTCCAACGTGGGCATTTCAGGCTGTAGGAGCATGGGTGGCGTTGCGCAAGCAGGCAACATCACTGGTCATGGACTCGTAGGTCACGGCAAATTTGGCAAAATGTGGACTACCGGGCACCCAGGGCAAGGACTGGCTGTAGAAGTGGAGCACGCGGTCGTTGAGCCAGGCGGCCGGGACGTCGCCCACCGTGTCATAAAAGAGCAGCTGCAGCAGGCCTTGCTCAAACATGGCGTCAAAGTAGTCGGTGGCCGACACCAAGAGTTCATGCACCGTGCTTTGCATCGTGGCCACATCGGGCAAGAGTCTTGTGTGAAAAAGCATGAGGCGCGTAGAGTAAACGCGGGCCCGGTCCGGGAATCGCTGTTGGAGTTCCAGAGGCACGCTTTTGGCCGACTCGCGATAAAAGCGAACCTCGGGATTGCCAACTCGCACAAAGGCAGCAGGCTGCGTGGGAGCCAAAGCCAAGATGGCCTCTGGGTTGGTGACAGCCTGCATGTCAGCGTCCATGTAGAGGATGTCATCGAAGCGGCGAAAAAGCGGATCGGTAAGCAAGTCAAGCTTGCCAAAGTGGACAGTGGTCTGCTTGTTGGACCCATAGCGCATGCCGACCCATTGCTTCGAGAGAGGCACAACCGTGGCGCCAATGTGAGTCAAAATGTCCCGAGCACAGCGAGGAACGCTGGCGTCGACGATAACCATCAGCTCCCCGGTCCAGCCATTGACACGAGCACTGTGCAGCACATTGGCTGCCCCAGGAAAGTATTTGAAGTTGCACATGGTAACCAAAACAGCCCGGTGCTCTGCAGGGGCCGCGGACACCATGTTGGATCTCATCAACGACTGCACCAGCACCAGCACCTCCAAAAGAAGTAAGAACCACCGTGCGCCCACACATCGTCGAGCCTTGGCGCCAGCTGCCATGCCGTCGTGTCTCTAAAATTTCGTGTTGCGCCAAGGACGATGACCGGCAAAGGACGAGGTCGAGAGCAGAGGGTAACAGAGGTAACCGGGTGTGCTGTACTGCACCCACGAATGGCCGGCCAGCACTGCCCGCCAAAACTCAGCCGAGGCTCGACCATGAACAAGCAAATGCGGCAGCGGGCTCTCAGTGTCCGCACACCACCGCCGATTGATGATGTATGCATGCTTGCATGGTAGAAATCCTCGAATTTTCTTCATTTTAGAGGGGCTATTTCATAACCGAGAGAGCCGAAAGAAAGTGTTGAAAACGGCTGTTTCACCCAGTTGACCGTTACGCGTTCCAACCGTCAACTGCTGTTGGTCGGTTGCGGTGGATCCTTGAGGACCTCGGTCGAGGCCTGGTGCAGTGTGCCGCCTCTTCTTCCTGGCATCCATCTCCTGCACACGAGTCGTCTGACGGTGGCACTTGGCAACCGGGGGCAGAGCTGTTTCAGCCGCGAATGCATGAGCTACTCTCTGCTTTGGGGTTCACGATTGTAGCCACCTACCCCCTTCTTGCTTTCTCCCACCGGTCCGGGGCCCGCTCGCGGTCTGCGGCTTTCAACCTTGCCATCTGTTACCATGTTCGTGTCTGTGTCCGGCTTTGCCGGGGCTTACGACCGGATCTGCCGGGATGCTCTCCAGGTACGCGCCCAGGAATTCCAATGCTCTCTCTGCGTGAACGTGTGCTCTTTTTCGTGCCTGTGACGTTTGCTGGCTTGGGCGATGAAGTTTGCTCACGTCGCTCTGCCTTGCAGCCTGACAAGAAAGTGCTGATCGTGGCCGCCATGGACGTTGATGCTGCGTGCGCCTGCGGTATTCTCACGGTCTGTTCCTCCGTGACCCATTTCTTCTTCTCCCCGCTTTTGGTCGCCGACCTTGTGATTTCTTGTTTCCCATTCGCTCTTCGTGTGTTTTTCTGGGAGACCTGATCTCGTGGCTGCAATTCTTGCAGCGCCTCTTTGAGCAAGACGGCGTACAGTATCAAGTCTATCCCGTCCGCAATTATATTGATGTCAACGACATCAGTCAGCTTCTTGCTGGAGGGGACGGCCAGGTTGGTCAAGCGTTTGCGCTCGTTCGAGCTTCATCTTAGAGCATGCTGTGCCGCTGGAGTTACAAGAACCGCTCACAGCCTTTCTCTCTGCCTTGATGCCACAGCTCTTTTGTGCTGCCATTCTCCTCAACGTGGGCGCCAGCTACGACGCTGCAGAACTTATGCAAGCTCACGAGACTCAGCCCAATGAACACATGACCATCTACATGTTTGAAGCCCATCGCCCCATCAACTTGTACAACGTGTTTGGCGACGTTCAAATCTTTGATGATGGCGAGGTTAGGGAACAGCCCCGCTACTGAGTTTGTTCCCGTGCTTGCTCTGCTTGTATGCACGGCTGCATTCACCCGTACCCTGCGGTCATGGCTGCTATCACACGCGCGCACACACACGCACACGCGTACGCAGACCTCAACGGCCATTCCCGAACGCGACGCCGTGTATCTGACCGACGATGAGGACGAGGACGACGAGGATGACCGGTCGGACGCTTCAGACAACGAAGATACCGCTTCGGAGGGAGGCACGCCTGAAAAACGCACCAAGCGCCAGGTATCCTATCCTGCATCGTCTTCTCCGAACATACCAGGGTTGCAAGTGAGCACAGGTCCTGTGATGTCAGCAAGCCTCACTCTCCATTGCTTTCTCACAACACACAGCGCTACGAGGATCGACGCCTGCGACGTTTGCAAACGCAGTCCTACTATGAATACTCTTATCACACCACGCCCATTTCCGTCCTTCTCTGGCATTTGGTGATGGAAAAACGCCGCGAGAGCAACGACAGCCTCTGGCGCGCCATGGTTGCCCTGGTTGAAGCCTTTGTCGAAGATCGGATATCAGCGTACGTCGCCGTCTTTGTTGCTTCACGGCCATTCAAAATGCTGATGCCTCGACACCGCCGTCTTCTATGCGCTCACCAAACGGAACTCTTAGGGAGCTTTACTCGCGCATGTACTCGGATCTCAAGCGTGATATGGAACGCCTCAATGCGTACGTGTCTTGCAGCCCTGTGTCTGGCAGCCCTGCCCATGAGCGTCGTGATCTCCAGTATCACACCACAGACTGACTAGAATGGAGCTCATGCCGAGTCTGCATGGCGCGAATGCGTAGAAGCGACGAATCCGAGGGAATTGTACGAACTGTGCACTTGCGCGAAATCAAGCAGGATTTTCGTTTCCCTCTTTATCGCCATTGGAACATCTACGACGCCATGTGCAATTCCCGGTCGGTGGACCACTTCATTTGCTCCAAAGCAGGCCTTTATATAACTTGGCAGTGATTCACAACAGACTCACACGCCGCGTCCCCTTGCTGGTTAACCTCGGCGTATAAAATCTCGCTGACGGGTGTGCAGCTATGTTGCAGCACGAGTTGATGTTTGGAAAACCAAGGGCGAGGCGGCTCTCTGCAACATGCTGGCCCAAGTTGGCGTGTCCAAGCAGACCTGCAAGCAAAATTTTATTGCCTGGGTCAGTCCGGCTGAATTGCGTGTATACCTGGTGCCTTTGCATGGCCCTCCTTCCCCCCACGCGTGTTGTTGTGCCCGGGCCCGGGCTCGTAACTCATGTGAGGTCTTATACTGTAGACGGATGGCAATGCGAGAAAACGCGTCATGGAGAGCTTGATTCAAGCTCTGACCGACATGGGCATTGATCATTGCACAATCCCCAGCTTCGAATACCAATTTGAGTATCAGCGAGCGGTATGTCCTTGCTTTGCCTACCTGCCCGGTGCAAGGCTCAAATCGGTTGTGCCCGCCTTCTTTGATCTTGACTCGCATGAAACGGCAACCGCAGCTATCAGCCTCGGACCTAGCGTATGCAGTGGGCGCGCAGTTTCTATTCCCTCGTGCCGAGGGCGATTGGCAGCAAGCCTTTTACACATCCCTCGATATTTTGACCATGCGCAAGCGTGCGGCATTTGAGGATGGCTGCAACAAGGCCATGGAACTGGTGAGTGCTCCAACAGTTGGCCGTTCATCACAAGGACGCGGTTGAACTGTCGCTCACGACGTGAGCTGTTGTGTTGCAGGAACGCGTGCTACTGCGTCAGGTGCAAACCTGCTTGAACAACGGTGGCACGTCCATGGCCAAGCGATACCGACTCTACAGCATCCTCGATACTTCAGATCACAAGTATTTTCACTCCTACGGCATGCTACACCGCCTTGCTCGTTTCTTGGTCGATCATCGTCGGTACGTCGCTGCACGCCACAGTTGATGATCAAGGGCCTTCTTTGTCGCCTGTTTGTTCGCCGCCTGTTTGTTGGCCGCCTTTATATCTTGGCTAACGGTTGTCTACATCCCGCCTCGTCTCGTGAGCAGATTCAGCATTGGCGCTCGCCGCAGCGCTGAGCACCACATTGTGGCATCGCGTGCCGATGACAAGATTCTTCTTGTGGGCATCTGGGCAAAGAAGCGACGTCAGGAGGGTGATGCTGTGCCCAACAAGTTTGGCTCCTTGGTATGATAGACCCGCTCGCTCCTTGCTTGCGCGATGCCATGCACCTTTACCAAAGGCAGTTCAAAAATATGTGATTGTACACTGTGCGCTAATTGGTGTTGTATCTGACTTTTTTTGCAGTTTGAGCGCATGACGGACCTGCATGCCTCACTGTATGAGGGTACCACGGCTACGCAATTTGAACGCCCCATGCTGGAGCTCAAGCCTGATCGCATGCAAGAATTTTGCAATGTGCTGGTCCGCGTTCTGACTGAAAGTGCCTGAGATGGTGATCCATAGCACAGGGTCGTCACTTTGCCCGGCTAGCAACGTTGAGCTGCATTGGTTGGCTGTATTGACCCTCTGAGTGTATTATTGTTCGTCTCGTGATCAAGTGCTCGTGTTATTGTCGCTCACAAACCCCCTCTGTGACGCTTTGTTGCCATCGTTTCGTTTTCGTATTTCTTTGTGATAACTACTCTCCCCATTGTCAGTGCCTTGGACGGAGGTCGGTAGGCGTCTGATCCTTTCTCCCCTGATTTTTTACTTGCTTTTTCTTTTTTTCTCCCTCTGCTGTCCCGTCTGTTTGCTTGTTTTCATCTTAACCGGCTTTTTTCGTCGTCCTCTGGTTCTCCTTTATCGTTGTTATTTGACTGGCTGAATTGTGTCGTGCTTGTGCTTGAGCGCAATACGAGCATGCTTTTGGTCTGTGGAATTGCGTCCCTGCTCATGCGTGTACCTTGTTCTCGTCTTTTCCGGTGCATGACTGTACTCAACTGCAGCAGCTTCTTCTGTGAAGGCAGCATCTGTGCTGGATGTGCTAGCGTGGAAAGGTTGAGGCGATCATCGTGCTGTCGCCACCCCTGTATTCTAATTCCGTGCTCCATGCCGAATCGAAAGTGAATGAACATCTGCGTCTCTTTTCTCTTTTCAAGCTCGGTGAGCCGTGAAACAAGTGATAGCGCAACGAGGCACGACCCGGCTGTTTCTCTCCGTGTTCCCACAGCCCCTTTCAAACGTTTTTGAGCAAAGAGCCGCAGATTTCCTTTTGTTTTTTGTTTTTTGATGTTGAAAGGTCTTTTACATCCGATGTACAGTCACCGAGGGTATTTGTTACCTTTGGACATTTGTTACCAAAAATAAATTTTTTTCCCGTTCCTTTTTCCCTCTGTTGGAGGCTGGAGCTGTCTGGCAAGGAAGATAAACGGCAGCGCCCTGGTGGCCACTCGATCAATCTTCATAAATCAAAAGGTGGGATACATTTTTTACCCCATTAACTATGGTTGAGCCAGTTTTCGAATGCTCATCTCCTTGGATTCCGCTGATATGTGGCTGCCATTTCGGGTCATCCCACCTCGGCTGGCAGACAGCCGCCATGCGGCATCGCCGGGGTAAACAGGCATGTACAGGGGTTGCAACGGCCGGGCATGATGAAAGCCGGGTTTGTCAAGGATATCGGTGCGCCTTGGAGTTGAAAACCGCTTCACTGTGTGACTCTTTGGTGTTGGAACGTTGACATTTCCCCGCATACAGCTGACAGTGGTATTTGTGCCTATAGGCCGAGCGTCGAGCCAAGGCAGATCGTGTATCCCAACTCCTACGTCAGCTCACGGCGAGTTCGATGACTTCCATTGAAATTCAGCAGTATTTAGAGGTTGATGGCCTTCGTCAATTGACGCGTCAACAACTTGGCAGCCTGGTCAACCCTCTTACGAGCGCCAGTGCCCGAAGGGGGCGCCCCAATCGATCCGACGGGCTTCTGAAGCTGTACGGTATCACCAGAGCCGATCTTGTGGCTGCGCAACGGCGGAGACAGCGAGGCATCCAACCTCATGACGGCAGGCGGATTCTTCTGGCGCATGAGCGTGTAGCTTTGACAAACTGGCTAGAGACCTGCAGTGAGAAGCGTGCGTGTAAGAGCCGTGGCATGGTTGTGTGCGAGCTTCTTGAGATTCGTCGCAGTGCCCGAGAGGACGCACTCAATACGAATAGCGAATTGCTTGATCGGATTCCCACACTCAGCTCTGCTGAGCTTGCTCTTCTTGCTCGTCATCAAGAGGCTGAAAGCTCGGACAACCCCATGAGCCAGGCGCGTTTGAGCAATGACTGGTTTCGAGGATTGGAGTCCGACTCCAACATTTATCTTACCACCGCGGTGACTCAGTATCCAGCAAGAGTAACAGCCGCAACAGCCGAGGCTTGTACACGACATTTTTCGAGTCTTGACGAGCTCTTGGCAGACCTTGACTTCGTTCATCGCTCAGGGCGTCATGCTGGCATGATCAAAACCAACTGTAAGTTGACTTTCCTAGACAGCGCGAGCGCTGCTGCCTGTCTACGTCTGCATGTGCTGCAAACATACTTTTGTATCCTCCTGATGCATGTCTGTTCTTATTCATGCCGGCCCCAGGTCTTGGCCGTATCTTATCCGTGGATGAGATGCCTGGTCTCCGTGCCGGATTCACAAGGAATGTCAAGGTGTATTCCTCAGCCGACCGAACTGTAGATCAAGGGTGTCTTCCCGGACGAACCTACAATGAGACGATCACGCTGGTTCTCAGCATTGCAATGGATGGGACCGTGTTGCCGCCAATGGTGATTCATGCAAATCGTGGTCTTGGAGGAGACGAGGTTGGGCCGGCACAGCTCCCCGAATCAATCACGGGCAACCCAGACTATTCGCATTTTTTTTGCTGTTCAACGAAAAGTGGTTGGATCAATCGCCACCTCTTCGTCGCCTTTTGTCGGCGAATCAGATCTTTTCTCGGGCATACCGAGCCCATTATTCTGCTTTCGGATGGACACAGCACCCGCATGTCGCTTGCAGTCACCAACTACCTTCGCTCGATCAACATTTTTTTATTTTTGATCCCCCCGAATACGAGCCATTGCCTATCCCCGAATGATCAATGGCATCAACATATCAATCGGACACGTATTTCTTATACACTGCGCCATTCACGGCAGCTAGTTGGAGAGGCAGCCACCCTCGACGAGGAATTGTGTGCTCTTTATTTTGCCATCCACTTTCAAAGCAGTCAAGTCAAACGGGTACAGGCTGCCTTCCGCCATGCGCTTGGAGCGAGCTGTTAGACACATGAAGAACCAACCCTCACACGTTGAACCCGAGGATACAGCAGTGACGCCTCCCCAAAGCCCGGCAAGCACGCCATCTGGTTCAAGCACTCCGAGGTCAAACACAACGCCGCAGCCACTGGTACGGGTTTAGGACGCCAATTGGAGTCTTGATGAAGGCCGGGCGCACTTCGATCGTCTGGCTGCGAGTTTTTCGCGCCTTGAAGAGCGTCATCAAGATATGATTCGCTCAACGCCGCGTCAGCGCCGCCTACTCGATCGCATCACGCCTCAAGAGCGGTCACGACGGCGACGTGCCCCCATTTTTGGGCCAATGTCATCGGGGCCAAGCGCCGCAGATCTCGAAGGGCGTGAGCGGCGCCGTGTTCATCTTCATGCGTCGAGGGAACGACGAGCAGCAAGAGTGGCAAATGAAGCTGATCTACGTGCTGCTTTAAACGTACAACGCATCACGATTGCCAACCTGAAAAGCTTCTGTCGATCGCATTGCCTCGGCACGACTGGCAGCCGTGCCGAGCTCATCGCACGCACAAGGACACAACTCGAGCTCCCACAGCCCCCAACCACTCCCTCATCGCCAGGCAGGCCAGCTGGGGAGGTATTCGAGCCTTTGGCAACCCCTTTGGCGCAGATTGAGTCCCGAGAGGACGCCGAGCTTACCCCCATGCCTGCGTCTCCGCCGCGTGATGACCGAAATTCACTTCCCTCAGATTCAACCCCGCCCATTCTTACAGCAGCATCAGCAGCACCTTCTCTTGACCGAATCGTTGAAGAGGAGCCTCAAGAACCTATTGCGCGTGTCGGAGGTCACTTTGCAGACTCCGATCTCCAGTTTTGGCTCCGAGACTATACCTCTCAAACTCAACCATTCCAGGACGCAACAAGCCCTGAATCAAACGCGCCAGCCGCGCCTCTGGCCTGCTCAAATACAGACCAGAACGAGATTGATTTGCTCATCAGGGCTTGCGACGAGAGTACCAAAAAGTACAAGGCGTATATCGACTCACTGATCGCACTAGAGCCCCATACTTCCACGTCTTAAAAATAACACGAATTGAAGCTT